GATGTCATTATGTCACTAGAATAAGGAGAGTTAAAGTGTAAAGTGAGTATCTTAAACCATTTTGCCTCTAAAACATTCCAATGAAAAAAGTAAGATTTGCAAAAAAAGTAGACAAGATGTCAAAGATATCCTATGGTCTTCAAGTTGCCAACCATGGTCTGTATAGAGCTCACGTGCATTGACTCTTTCGTAGCTTAAGAACCCTAATTTATATAGACAGAAGATAGGGAAATTGGTGGCAAATGCTTTTAATTTAATGTCAGTTGGTAATCTGTCACAGGTCTGTTCTCATTTCTGAATAGTTAACTATTATGTTTGGAGCAGTGGTGAAATCCAAATTTTTTTACTACTGGTTCTATGTGCGTGGCTTGGTGGGCGTGGCAGGGGAAGGATACTGAAAATCTCCATTCCCACCTCACTCCAGGGGAAGGATACTGCAAAATCCCCATTCCCTCCCCACTCCTGGGGGAAGGATATTGCAAAATCTCCATTCCCACCCCACTCTTGGGAGAGTGACAGGTGGTATTTGCTGGTTCTCCGAATTGCTCAAAATTTCTGCTACTGGTTCTCCAGAATCTGTCAGAACCTGCTGGATTTCACCCCTGGTTTGGAGGGTTTTTTAATGAAGAGCATGTAAAACGAACTCTAGGACTATAAATACAATAGTAATATTAAAATAGCTTCTAACATTCTTAAATACACAACAATTATTAAGAGCAGAGGATAGGACAGTTGTTATGTTGTGATACAGACATTGAGAATGGTTCTTACAGGTTCTATACAAACATTGCAAACCACGCTGTTGTCATTGTATTTTAAGAGTTTTTACTAAAGCATTATTTGGTGGAATACATTTCTACTAGGGCTTATGAACTCCCATAATTAAACTTTTTAGGTGAAATGTTGAAGTGTTAACTAAGCTACAGATCATTATGATTCCAGGTCTCCCTCTTTCAATACAATAAAACCTTAGACGTTTGTTAGCTTTAAACAGAAAAAAACACAAAGGTGAATTGGTCACAGTAGTCTTTTATTGCAAGCCCAAGACACACCACAGACATAACAAGCATTGGACAAGGAGTCATAGATTCACATTTACAGGTTTTGGTTCTTGATGGCACAAAGACTCAGGGAAGAAGGTGGCAGTGGTACAGTGAAATATTTAACAGATCTGAGGAATCTGATGAATAATGAAACAAATGCTCTTTGTCACACACACACACACACATGCTCTTTGGCACTATGTGTCCTGCCTATGCTGCATAATGCAGTTCTGATGTTTTGCTTATGAACCAGGTATAATCCTGGGAGCACTAAGATATATTCCTCTTTTGAGGCCTTCATGCTGAAGAATGAACACAAATACAGCCTTCTTGAAAGGGCCCTGTAGGGCACCCAAATCCTTCCAAGTGGGATCTTGGATATCTAAATTTTAGCTGTAATAACAGAGAAAAAAGCACTCCTCTTTTGTTTGCTTCTAAAGCTATGGCAGATGGGAGAGCCCTCCCTCTTTTTTTTTAAGATTTAGATTGGTTCTGCTCTCCTGAGGTTGCTGAATTGGAATGATACATATGGATGAGTAAAATGCCACATTTGGACTCTGATTCCTGACTGCCTGTGGTGCAGCTGTCAATGAAGCAGAAGGGCCAGGTGAGGCGTTTCTGGGAATCCACCATTGTTTCCTCTGAATTCCAAAGTGAACTGCTGTGAGTTCTCATTTCAGCAGCAGATCCTACGTACAGAAAAAAGATGAAGATAACTCCAAGAATCAACTAATGGATAGATGTGATCACTGGATACTGCAGGGACATTTTCCTCCTATACTTCAGCTGAGATGGATAAGCTTAATGAAGAGAGACAATCTCAGCCATGAATAAAACATAAAGCCTTATACCATTCATCATAGCAACTGGGAAGCCAAAACATCATTTTCAGCAACTTCATAAAGAATGACCACTTGTGAATAGGTGCACAATTGGATGAGTAAAGTTTCCTATAAGGTGGCCAATTTTATATTTGCAGCTTTGAAAATAACAGTCCTGGGAAACAGTCCAGTAATTGACAAAGTTGAAGAAGTCTGTAATGGGGTAACGATAATGTTCAAATTACTATGCAACTGGAGAAATCTGATTTAAAACTGCTACTAAACCAAGGCGGTCCATGGGCTTGGTAACAAACTCTTGCCTTAATCAATCTTACAGGAAATACAAGGAAACAGATACATAGATTGCCCAAAAGCTTCATCAGAATACTTATTCTGTTGCAGAAGATAACAGTATTCTACAGAGCAAGGCTAGGGAAGCTACAAGAAGCTGTAACCTTGTATTTGATAAGGATAATGCTGTGGGGAATAAGTAGGCAGAAGGCAATGATCAACCAGAGCTGGATTCAGAGGGTTTCCTGTTAATTGTGGTAATAGCTTTATAAAGTTGTCAGAATAGCTTGACAACTTGATATCCATTCAGCACTCGCGGAGCTTTAAACTTGTCTTTCTGCAATGCTCAGGGGAGAAGTAATGTTCCAACAGAGAAATGTGTTAAAAAGACATTATCAAGACTAAGAAAGAGGCTACATACAATATTTGCATTTTAAAAAAAAATCCCCTCACCCCTTGAGGACTTTCTCCTCTCTCCTAACCTTGACCATTTGCAATAATCCACAAAGAATGCACACCTCCCAATGACAGTGAAAAAGCAGAAGTAGACAGAAACATACAAAACTAGCTAGTGAGCTAAGTGATGATTCAGCAAATAATAAGTCACAGCAATGAGAGGAGATGGGCTGGAAAAGGGCACTATGGGGATCAAGAGGATACAGTATTAAGGAGTTAGCCAAGTTATGAAGTTAGCCTTGATAGATACATGGATGTGGGTTGACAAACCATGTTGGGCAAGGACTGAGTGGCTGCCTCAAAAAAATGTTCCAAATTGTTGAGGGCCTGAGAAAATAGAGAATTGGAAGATATTATAGGACTATAAAAATATAAAAAACCAACAGGCTTTACTTTTGACAGCATCTGGCTGTTTTTCAAATAGGTGGGATATGTAGAGAGTAGCAAAGATAATCAATTCTCCTGTCACTTTTTCCCTATGTGCCCTTATCCCCCTGTGTCCTAGGGTATTGAGACCCCCTAGGAAGCAGATTACCTGTGAATTACCCAGCATGCACTGAGATACCCCTCCAGCGATGGCATCACACACAGCATAAAATGGAGGCCTGTGGAACAAGGAAGTGGCAGTTTCTTTAACCTTCTTCTCCTTGCCCTGATTCCCTGTATATGAAGAACCCACAAATCACCTCCCTACCTGATTTTCCTACATGCATTAAAAAAAAAAGTATAAAACATACTGGGCTGTAACGTTGAGCATCCACTTTACTGCTTTTCCCCTTTTCCATGGAGCTTGCAGCATTGCTAGAAGGGAGCAGCTGAGTTACTGAAAGGAACCAAGCACAAAATAACAGTAAGTTATATCAAAACATATTCTGGGGGAGATTCGGCTGTGATGGAAAAAGTCTGGGAATGGGATCAATCAGTTATCAGCAACCTATGATATACAAACGGCATGTTTATCTGGGATATTTTTCATTTGGTAATGCTCCTTAATAAAATTCTATTTTTGTGTCTACTATTTGGAAGATACTTGGATGATTTGATTTGGAATTCTAGGATTTAGAATTTAAATCTTGGGGGGGGGGGAAAGAACATATCTTCCCTGGAATATCTAAGAATGAGAAAGAAATTAATTTGATTAACTTTTTAAGGTGAAGTTATTGAATTTGCACTGAATGTGTATTCTGAGAGCTACTCTTGGCTGAATATTGTGACATAGTTCATTGCTAAAAATGAACACATTAGAGAAACTGTAAATGTATAATAATGCATATTAGAAAAAATTACTAATAAACATGGTCGGAAAAAGTCCATTAAAAATGCATGCTATCAGCCTTCAGAAAAATGGATAGAATTGTTCAAACGTATCCTAAATTGAGGAAAGAAACACATTCCTCAATTGTCCTGTTCATCAAGTAAGATCCTCCAGAATTTGTCTTCATTGAAAACCAGAACAACCAAAATATTCCATGTTTTGGTTCTGTCAAATCGTAGCCCACCAATTTGGTCGAAATCTTGAGGCATAATATATTTGTTTTGGGTTTAAAACAAAATAAATTTGCTCCTACTTTTACATAACATATAATGTCAGGTGGTGGCAGTGCCTGACCAGTCTTTTCTTACATTGAATTATAGCTGCTTAGTACTTGGGTTAGATGTCTATGGAGATTCTCAGTCATCCAGGTTATGGTTGTCCCAAAGGTGTTTTTTCAAGAGGCAAGTGGACTTTCTGGTTTTTCTTTGAAGACGTTTTGTTTCTCATTTTGAAGGCAGCAAAGTCCACATTCTGGATAGAGAGGACCGCTGGTTTGAAAGAGTGGTCAAAGAGGCCATCTATGTCAAAATTGAATAGCCCTCTCTCAACAGAGGGGGAAGGATATAACATCATCTATCTCCAGTCTTTTGAAAAGAAGAAGGCTCCACATGCATTTGCACAACTCAGGTAACCCCATAAACCTCCAGGTGGACTTAACGACTTGCTAAAAGAATGCAAATGTCCAGCTGTCTGAAAGGAGTATAAATCCTTCCATTCCCCACCATCCAGTCAGAGCTGAAGAAGCTTCCTGGATGGGAAGTGAAACGTCTTTGAAGAAAAACCAGAAAGTCCAGTTGCCTCTTGAAAAAGCACTTTTGGGACTACTTGGGCTAAAGAACACCCGAGATTCCTAGGGCTGTAGAGAAAACTTCCTGAAAGTAGTAACAAATTACTTACATGCTATTTGTAGAAAACAGCATGGAATGTATTCATGTAATCAAAAATCAAGCTTACTCAAACTTTTACTTAGTTAATGTGTAATCATTGGGGGGGATACACCCAAAGAAATATTCTTGGCAAGAGTATAGATATAGCTGTCAGTACTTCTGCAAGATCCTCAATTCATTTGATTATCCCCAAACAACTACCCACCTACGTTACAAAATTAGAAGAAGTAGCCAGTTTATTCATAAACCCAAATAAGTGGGAAGAACAATGATACTTTTAGCAATCTATGGCAGAAATCAAGCCTGCATGTAATTGGATTCTATATAGTCACAGGGCTTCTGGCTATATTGACATTGGTTTATGGTATGTAGATATACTAGCTGACCTCACTGTAGAAAAAAGAATCCATGATATTTGATGAGGGAAAAGAGAAACAAGCTGGAACTTTGGAAGAAGATTAATGCCAGCTGGTCACTATTCAATCTCAGTGGAAAGATCTAGAAAGGAAACCTAAAAAGTGACCTATGACAAAGAGATTTTCTATTCATAGAGAAGGAACGTAAATGGAGCAATAGAAAGCCCGATTAAATCTAGAAGATCCAAGGGGATCAAAAAACATGCGGGGAATATTGGAGAATCATCCAATGGGGAAGTCATCTTTTTTTTTAAAGATACACTGACTTTGTTGCCTAAACATTTGTATAGCTCATTTTGGAGGGAGGGGAGGAGGGAGGGAATTCTGAGCTACATAATTAATAATAATGCAATTTCTGTCTTGAAATTCTGAAAATTTGGTCAAACTAAATGTGAACTCAGCCTAGTTTTACCCTGGCTTCAGAAGCTCATTAAGAGTTTAGAATCACAGTTTCTAGATTCATCTGCTGGAATAGACACCTATCAGACAAGGGAGTTTCAGCCCACAAATTAGGTCAAAAATTAGGCTGGAACATATTTAAATAAATGGTTTCATCCAAGATGTTACTATATTCCGAAATTATTTCGCAAATGCTGATTGTATTTCAATTGGGTAAGGACTGCACCATCTTTTGTTAACTACCTTTAAGATCCATCTAGATAGATTTCTCTGACATCTTGGACTGACCAGGTTAAGGGCAGGTGCGTGCGTATACACCCACACACCATTTCTGTTCTCTAAGCAGCCTGTCAGCTGAACAAGTAAAAAAAAATCTCCATTAAATTTTACCTGTTAGTACCACCACTGTATCCATTATAGAAGGTGGTAAAATATATATGAAATTATACTGAAAACTCTATGGTAAACATGTAGCTGATTGACAGTAGGTTCAGAAATTGTAATAATTGAAGTATTATTCAATTATAGTGGTACCTTGGTAGCTTTGAAATTCATCAAATTTGGTACTCAATGCATTTTGATGCAAAAAATTTGTCCCAGTACTATTGTTTGGTACTTAACACACAAGCTAGAACTTGTTGGTGTCAGCTGCCTTGTGACTCACTACATTATTCCTTATGGGAATTTTTTTTGGGGTACTCATTTTTGATACCAATTAATGGTGAGTACCGAGGTACCACTGTACATGCTTCCAATAATGCATTAGTAATTTACAATGCTTGCCTCCCCTCCTGGTTGATCAACCTTCTGTGGACCTTCAGTCCTTCATGGCGCTGTTTTTAGGGTGGGGGGAGTAGTCCTTTTCTAAATAAATGTTATGCTCCCCTAAACATCTATGCTTTCTTTTTATGTGTGGGTTTTGATTACATTTCTCTCCTTGAGGATCATGAACACAGAAAACTCCTAATCCAAATGATTCATTACCTATCACTGCTGTGTGGGACAGCATAGGCCAGTTACAGTTTTGTAACAACACCAATGATATAAAAGGAATCTACTCTGCCTAGCAGATCTGCCCTAGAAATAAACTAATTTCAGTGTTTACCTGGTGAGCTGGTACTACTGGGTGTACAGACACTGTCATCTAACCATGCATTCTGAACCAGAGAATCCTGCTTCTGGGGACCTTCAAGAGAACACATTAACTCCTGCACAAGAAAAATGGGAAACAGCTTTAGAGGTCACTTAGTCTGTATCTGGAAGATTGCTTCTATGAAAGGGAGTAATAAAAGATCCCACACTGACCGCTTCATTCTCCTCCTCCTCTGATGTTTCATTCTCTCTGACTCCACTACAACAGCTGCTCACATTAGATGAAGAACGGGACAGGGGCTGCATCACACAATATCCTGATGTCTGATTGGAGAGACCTCTGCTGAAGGAACACAAGCTCCAAAGAATCACTGTCACAATCCTCAAGAGCTATTCGCCCATCCGAAAGATTAATCTTCCCTTCTGATAGAAGTCAGCCGATGTAGCATAGCAATCTGAATTGCTGCTTCCTAAATCCTCTACTAGATTAAAGAAAGGGTCTTCCCTAATGACACTGGCAGGTGCTATATTTCTTTGTTCTGTTGAAATAATCTCAAGTCATCCCTCCTGCCCATATGATCTTTCACATTCAACTTACTTGCTCTTCCTGTTAGGGAATTCTGGTGAACTAGGACTGGAGGAACCATCTGATTTGAGATCAAAGAAGGGTCCAGGACTCTCCAATACCTTCTGTATCCTTTCAGCCACATCTTTGCTAGAAAGAAAAGAATAACTTTATTAGAGAAAAAAGCCCTTCTATGAGGTCTGTAAGATCCATGACTCATTTTATGGATGCGCCAGAAGTTCTAATCTCCAGAGTAAAGGTTGGTCCTTCCCCAGAAATCCAACTACTTTTCCTAATCTTGGGAAAGCCCCCCCTCCCAATGTGAAAGACAGAACACTTGCTACTCTGTAACATCCTTCTTGGAGCTTGCCGGATTCATTAATCCTTATGACTGCTAATAAATAAATAATTAACCAATGGGATAAATGGCTAGCTGTAAAACAAAGTATTAATGTCTTTTAATTTTCAAATGTGTCTGGGCACAGTTTGATTTCTCATGTAAATGAAAGGCTTTTGCAATTCAGTGTTTGTTCGGAAATGAATCCATTCGCCTGGGAAAAGGACAAAGATAAGCAGAGCTTATAGGGAGCACCTGGCTTTATGGTGGTAGTGGTGGTGAAGGCAAGTGGGAAGTAATGCTGTGATAAATTAGTCCTTTGAAAGGGGCTCAATTTCCATAGCAACCATCAAGTGAATGAATAAGCCTCCCAACCACCATTTTGCAAAAGCACTTCTAGTATGATAAAAATCTGATCGTGCCCACCAGAGCAAAAAAGCTCTTATCTTATTCTTTTCCAAAGTGTTTGAAAACATCTTCATTACAATTACTTTCTCAGTTCATTGTAAATCATGTTTTTCAGTTGGGCTGAAAAAAAACATTTTTATGGCTGAGAACAGCACTGTTTTTTTATGTCTCAGAAGAGCAGAAGCTATGGGTTCATGGTAGTTATGTCTCAGCCCGATTTTTACTTGAAGAAAAATACCCATGGGGTCCTGCCCATATTGCACTTGTTTGGACTGCAATTGATCAGTTGATTTACACAATGCATAATTCAGGTTTGAAGTTTGCTAGCATGAGATGTGATGCTGGCTACCAGCTTGGCTGGCTTCAAAAGAAAAAAAAAGTTGGATCCATTCATGGAAGTCATGGGGATCAACAGCTATTAGTCTTGAGGACAATGTTACAGCCTCTGGAAGTCACCTGCTGGAGACTGGCTTCCTTCTGCAAGTAGTTGGCAATGAGAAATGATTGCTGGACTAGAGGTCTGATCCAGTAGGACTTTGCTTTGGTCTTTATTCCCATGTTGTTGGAACTCTTCAGTAGTTGTTTTGTGGGTAAGCTAATTATCTCCTTACTCCGCTGTAGTAGAGGACCAAAGACTGCAGACAAAGTCTTCTGATCTCAGAAAATAGGCTGCAGTGTTGCTTTTTCATATTGATTAAAGGTAAAGCAGCTACAACAGATGCTAAATTTAATTTAAACCAAATATGGCAAGGGAAACTAGCCCCTTCAGTCAGTGTTTCTAACTTTCTTTGTAAGAAGAAAACAAGTTTCCTGAATTTTGCACTAAAGCAAGAAGACACTTTCCAGAAATATTGTTTGGATCTCCCATCAAACCTTTCTTTCACTTTGCAAAAAGTATCATTCTTGACACATCTGCTAGCACTGCAGGTACCAATTCTACATTGGATCCTCCTCCTTATTCATCTTGAGCAGTTGTTGGAATTGATCCTAGATTAGTCTAGCAGAAAACTGGATTAATTTGATTTCCCCCAAACCAGGGGTCTTCAACCTTAAATGCTTAAAGAGCCATTTGGACCCGTTTCCCACAGAAAAGAAAACCCCGGGAGCCACAAAACCTGGGTGGGTGTGGCCAACTCAATGTCACTTACTTCCACCAGTCACATGACCCCCCCCCCCGCCATGCCTACCAAGCCAATCATTAGGGGAGAGAACCAGTTGTTAAAAACCACAGAAACCACACAATTCTTTTGACATCTCTCTCTCTCTCCCCTCCCTCCCTCTTTCCCCCACTCTTTCTGTATCTCTCTGTCTCTGCCCTGGCTGCTTCGCCATCCCCTGCTGTCACCCTTACCTTCTCCTCAGGCGAGGAGTGACTGGGAGGGGAGGGTGAGGGGCGGGGCCAGCTGATGGTGGGATCACCTGACAGGGAACCACAGCAGAGGGCCCAAAGAGCCGCATGTGGCTCCGGAGCCACAGGTTGCTGACCCCTGCCCCAAACCATTGTGCACCTACCAATGGCTATCAACAAGGGCAAAGGCAAGGAAAGTGTGACAGTGAACCACAAAGTCTCTGCTCAACCATAGCCTGCTGGCCTTTGTCTCTTCCTTGGAGGAATAGGAAACATATTATTATCCTTCCTCAGTACCGCTAAAGTAGAACTTGTATGCAAACTTTAACACCAAATTACAGTAGCATGATATTTTCAATATGATTACATTTGCAAAACTTTAGCATGATTTTGCAAAAACATCTATTTTGCTTTTATGATTGAATACCATTACTTTTAGGAAGTTTTTATTTCTTGTGCTTTCGTTCCATTTTCAGGATAGAAAGAAAGGGATTTTGAGTTTTATTCGTTTTTATTCTGAAGGGCTGAAGGGTATGTAACAGTGGCACTGCTTCCATAAATTATTTGTGTAGTGCAACAAGCTGAAATGTTGGTGAAGAGCTTCTCAGAGTAATTAACAATACTGTTAAAAATAATTACTATTACAGACCATGTTCATCTGGTAATCAGACAAGGAGAAGCAGGTAAATTAATTAGAAAAGAGTATGGATCCTGTATGGATCAGGTTCATAATTATTTACAGGTACAAGGTTAGTTGTTAATATACTATACAACAGAAATAATATACAAAGAATATATCATTGTTCAGCTCTTCAAAAATTACTAGCAATGTGCTTGATATCTGTCTATCTAGACCATCAGCAGGCACCCCAGAAATTTAATGGAGTCACAAAGCCTCATCTTGTGTGCTGCCCTTCAAGATCCAGCTGCCAAATTTAAACAAATCATTTCAGTGGCATAGGTTTGCACTTAGACAAAAAGACAAATAATGGCAGATTAATCTTCTCCACTCAAATGTAGAAATGACAGTGATCTAAATGGTGAAATGCTCCCGGATTGGACTGGATTGCCTGATCCGGTAGTGATTTTTCCCTGTGGTTTGGCGATCCGGTAGTGATTGCCACCTGGTTGTCATTACTTCCTGGTTTTAACCAGGAAGTAATGTTTTTGCGCATGTGGGGTGTGTGCACTTCCGAATCAGCAAGGAAGGTAAGTAGATTTCACCCCTGCTCTAAACAAATTGTTTTTGTTGTATCACCACAAAACTATTACGCTCTCCTTAGCTCTCAGGAACCACTTTGACTTAAAGATATGTGCAGCTCCTAGCCGGAAAAAGTTGTCTAGCTTGATCTAAGTCAACAAATGCATTAATGTAATCAGTTTCTTTTAGATACTTTTTGCTTAATTTGTGGTGCCATAGCATGTCCCAAATCATCTTGTTATAATTTCGGAGCATGCTTGTAATTTGATCAGAAATTTGTTTAGGCCCAAATTCAAGCAAGAACAGTGCCTCTTTTTCTCTCATTTTTAATCCTCATGTCAACCCTGATAATTATTCCTTCCACTCTGCTTCTTTTCCCTTGAATCTTTCTCATCTCTCTATAGGGATTCTCTTCACATAGGCTCAACCTAGTGTTCTCTTAATCTATTTAAGTTAGATTCTGCAACAAAAAAAGTATGTCCTATGCCCAGTTCAGAACTTGAGTTTTCAATTGTTCAAGAAATTAATTTCAGAACTGCTATGAAATTGTCCCATGAAAGTAATAAAGGTGTTTATTACAGAAATCACAGAATAGACTCCAGGATGACACATCAGAAACAAAACGGCTGACACACAGATGGAGAAAATGGGGTCAACAGGCTGTATGATAAACAAACAGGAACACTCCAGTTGAGTTTGATTAGCAAGTAGCTTTGGACAAAAGTGCTCTTGGTTCTTGGAATAAAATCAGAGCCCATGAGTCACAACAGTAGATTAAAAGTTACTGCTGAAATTGCTACTCAGTGACAAAGAAAATTGCCTTTTGAGTGCACTAAAGACCTCTCATGCCAACAACATACATATAGCCATACTAACCCCATCTTTCAAAATTAGTGCCCTCCCGACATATGCAGACTGCACCTCTCTTACATATTGGTTAAAGGCCGTGATAGCTAGGAATTCTGGCAGATGCAGTCCCACTAGACCTGAAGGGTACAAGATTGGATTAACACTTGCACCAATCACTATTTCCTCCCCCTGTTCTAGTTCTAGTCCTGCCATTCTTCCCGTGGTCCATACCTCTTCTCCTCTTGGATGTTCTCAATGCCAATGGCACTACTACGTCTCCCATTGAAGCGGCTGCCTCGGTTGCGTGATGGGCTTCTCCCAGGCAGGGCAAAGGACTAGTGGAGAGGAAATGATAGAAAGGGGGAAAAAAAGGAAGGAGGAGGAAAGAAATAGAAAAGCACGAGTTGGAACAGGAACAAAAGATGGAGAACTGGATTTCCAGATCCTGTCTATACATTTAATGCTAACAGATCAATCTGCCAAATTTAGAAAGCTAGCTAAGCTAATTCAACAGAGAAAATGTAGAGTAAGAAAAGGAAACAATAAACTAGTAATTGCAGAGACCACAGTGAGAAATACTTTAGATATAATACTGGCACGGAGACAGTAGAGACAATATAGATTGAAGGAGAAAGGAAAAATAGATAGAGCCACAGTTTGAGCCAAACAAAGCACTAACGTCTACCATTAAAAATGATGGTCCAATGTCATTCCCTTCCTGAATGTCTACCAGAACTTCCCTCCTCCTTCAAAAAAAATGTTCATTAAAGCACTGATAATAAGCAACAGGCATCTTGAACAGAACGTCAGTATCTACGTGTCATTCTAGCATTTATTTTCTGTACATAATTTCTCCAAATGGAGCTTCCCTTTCCTGGCTTTCCTTCCAACAAGCAGTTTGGGACCTAGAAATCTACAGCTGTGGTCAGAGAAAAGACGTAATTAGCATCTTGACATGGTTGATGTGAGAGAAAAGTTATTTCTCAATTGCTGTGCCTATTAATGGTTTTTGGAATGGACAAGTGGGTGAGCCAATCAGAAAGCAGCTGATGGGTTTGAATCTCCAGGGCTTTTATGTTCCCTCCCCTAACTGTCACAGTTGACAGTATAAAAGGAGATTCTTGACAGAAAACCATTGGCAGTCCAGAAAGCAGTTCAGAAGGCAGTTGGCAGTTTGGAGAGTTCTGTTCAGCTCTTCTGTTAGAAAACTGTGGGCAGTTTGGAAGTCAGTTAGAAGGGCAGTTCTGATGGTTTACAAGAATCTTTCTTCTGAGAAAGAATAGCCAGAACTATCATCGCTTAGTGCGATTACAGGATATTTATTTTTATGTAAATAAAAATATTTATTGTTAACTGCTTCAGAGGCTCATTTGTTAAAAGTAGATCTTAATAGAGATAAAGGTTTATGGTACATTGATTTATTTCCTCCACGACAGTTGATTTGTAACTATGTATCTCAATGCCATCTTCAGGCTAACAATTAAAACTGTAGTCCCGTAAGAGGATAGACTCCAACACCCAGGATTCATTGTAAGCAGCAACTTCACATGCATACCCTGCTCCCAGACCTGCAAGTTCAGTGTTGGAAGAAAGGCTTGTCCTTCATTAACAGTGGACTGAGCCATGGCTGAATGGAAGAACGTATGATTTGAATGAGTAGATCCCAGCCAAAACCTCCCAAGTATATATGCGGCCAAGTCAAACTAACTAATCCACATATTTTCTAACAATAGTGACAACTCCATCCTAATTGCCCAGACTGTCTATAGGCATGCTTTCCATGCCTGTTAAACCAGAAATGTTCACTTGCATGCATTAGTTCAGTGCAAATCAGCAGGCTTAATGCCTGGTGAAAACTACTCCTATTTCCTTCATTTGAGGCTGTCAGATAATCATGAAACAGGCTTTATTTGCTATATCCCCTATCAAATTATCCTTAATAAGAGCATGTGAAATTAAAGATTGAGAAAACTGCCAAAACAGAGAACAGGGGAAATACTCTTTTTCATTTTTTAAAAGAATTTCAGTATCATGGCATTCAGTCTACTTCGGTCCTTCCTAACCTGCACCTAATCTGGCATAAACATGCCCTGCAATTTCCTTAATTTCTGGTATGCCCTTGCAACATGGCCAGTTAGGAACACAGTGAAATTGGCTGGCAATGAGAGGAAAGAGGGACCATGCAAGGAAAATTGGGATGGGTATCAGGGATAGTAAATTTCATGCTGGCATGGATTTTTGTTAACGGGAGGAAAACATTTCAATTCAGCACCAGGGAAAGATCTTTAGGTGAATTGGATGGAGAATTGAAAACATAATGTTTTGATAGAATTGGTTTTACATGGAAGTGCCATGAAGTCACAGCTTAGAGTAAGGACATTAACACGAAATAATCCCCAAGAGTTCCACCTGGGTTCACACAATTATCTGCACGAAATCACTTAGCTTGGTCATCTGGGATTTTCAAGATGCCACTGATAAACTCCTTCATTTAAACATATTGTTGCTGACTAATTAAGTTTTGTTAGTGAAGCCTCAAGGGACACTTTTAATTTTTTTCCAGAGATAAAATGGCCAGGATGATCCATATCCTGACAACTATCAATCTTCCAGAAAATGTATATGACAACCTACCATCATGTACAAAGCCATTTACAAATACAATTTCAAAGCTCCAGTGCTTTTCTTGCACAGCATTGCCCATCTTGGGCCTTGGTTGAATTTCTCCCAACAAATATATTTTTTGATCATCTTTCTCCAAAGCTCTCCTCTAATGCCACTGGCATCTGAGATTGGTGGGAAACAATCTTTTGCTGTTAGGATAAAACCTTGTTTTTCTGGTCTTTAAAATATCTGGTGTACTTGTGACAGTACAATCTTTGTTGACTTTTACGTTAGATTACCTCCCTATTGTCACGTTCTCACACTATACCACTTTTCATGTTAATGGAGTCAGCTTCCAAACACAGAGGACTATGACTGACAAATGAACACAGAGACGTGAAAACAAGTCCATATAGACATCTGAGGTATTTTTATGGAATTACAGCTACCAGCAAAGAGCGTTGACAAGCAGCAGGTCTAGATAAAAAAGGGGAAGAAGGGGGCTGAAGGCATGCTTATTAGCTTCCCCGGTCCCTACCCCACAAAATCTTACCGCAGCAATAGCCTTGGGACCCTCGGCGACACTTTGGTTGAGGGCAAGGCCTGCAGTAGCTGGGCGGCTGGGTAGAGTTGCTGGGGGCTGCTGCTGCTTCTTCATGGCTATCCCCATAGTGTCCAGGCTCTGGCTACGGCCTCGGATCACCCGCTGGAGAGAAGGGCAACAGGGAAACAGACACAGAGACATTGACATACACACACAAGGAAAGCACAGAGAGTAGCAGAGATGCTAGTGGATAAAAACTGGGAGGCAAAGAAAACTAACCCTGGACTTCCTCTCACTATTGGATCTCAAGCAAAGAAAGTAACCCCCCCCCCCCCGAATATCCAACTGGATGGAAGAATCTGCTCAAGCTATCCAAGGCTACAGTCTTCATTAAGAACTTTCTTGCTTTCCTCCAAGTGATACTGACCAGCTACAATCATGATTCTCTAGGGTAACTCTTTCCTCTATTATATGAACCTTGAAGACACAAGCTGGGACATCAAATCTACATTATAGTACTGAAACTAAGATGTTGCCTCAAAAGAAATATGAATTCATTTTCTAGCTTTTTATGGATAGTTCTATCCAGACTGGTCAGCTCAGACCATGGAACAAGCAGCACTGAATAATAAACTATTACCCAGAAAGAAAAACAGACAAGTCACATATCCTGAATTCCTGAATGTAAGCATCAATTACTCCTTCTCATGCTCTGAATGGAGGTTCCTCCCCCACTCACCCTGGCATTTTAGCAACTTTCATGTCAAATTTAATTATCCTGAAGATAATATTTATCCTGAAGGTTCTTATCTGAAAATGTCATCAATAAAAATTAAATTATCTTTTCTAAGGTAGTACTTCCACTACAATTACTGAAAAAATAATTATAAAATTAATTTAATTTATTTTATTTTTTATTTTATATTGGATTTCTATACCGCCCTTCTCCCTAAGGACTCAGGGCGGTGTACAGCCAGATTAAGAAAACATGCAGAACAAATATTAAAAACAATTAAAAGATATATAAATTTGGCCCAATTAAAACTCATTTACCAATTAAAAACGTTTAAAACATTTAAAAACAGTTAAAAATTTCATCTTAAGCCAGCCCGGCTTGTTTAAATAAATGGGTTTTAAGGGCGCGACGGAAGGCACTGAGGTCTTGGATTCTCCTTATCTCTGGGGGGAGCTGATTCCAGAGGGTGGGTGCCCCCACAGAGAAGGCCCTCCCCCTGGGGGTCACCAGCCTGCATTGTTTGGCTGATGGCACCCCGAGGAGGCCCTCTCTGTGGGAGCGCACGGGTCGCTGGGAGGTCGTCGGTAGCAGCAGGCGGTCTCGCAGATAGCTAGGCCCTATGCCATGGAGCGCTTTAAAGGTGATAACCAACACCTTGAAGCGCACCCGGAAGACAACTGGGAGCCAGTGCAGCTCGCGCAGGAGCGGTGTTACATGGGAGCGCCATGCTGCTCCCGTCACTACCCGCGCTGCTGCGTTCTGGACCAGCTGGAGCCTCCGGGTGCTCCTCAAGGGGAGCCCCATGTAGAGAGCGTTGCAGTAGTCAAGGCGAGAGGTGACGAGGGCATGAGTGACTGTGCACAGGGAATCCCGATCAAGAAAGGGCCGCAACTGGCGAATCAGGCGAACCTGACAAAAGGTCCCCCTGGTTACAGCCGTCAGATGTTCCTCCAAGGACAGCTGCATATCCAGGAGGACTCCCAGATTGCGAGCCCTCTCTGTGGGGGCCAATGACTCGCCCCCAATAGTCAGTGATGGAGTCAACTGACTATATCGGGATGCCGGGAGCCACAGCCACTCAGTCTTGGAAGGGTTGAGCTTGAGCCTGTTCCTCCCCATCCAGACCCTCACAGCCTCCAGGCACTGGGACATCACTTCAAGGGCATCATTGGGGTGGCCTGGGGTGGAGATGTACAGCTGGGTGTCATCAGCGTACTGGTGGTATCTCACCCCAAAGCCACGGATGATCTCACCCAGCGGCTTCACATAAATGTTGAACAGAAGGGGCGAGAGGACCGATCCCTGCGGCACTCCACAAATGAGAGGCCTCGAGGTCGACCTCTGCCCCCCTGCCAACACAAACTGCGACCGGTCGGAGAGAAAGGAGGAGAACCACCGCAACACGGTGCCTCCCACCCCCAACTCTTCCAGCCGGTGCAGCATGATACCATGGTCGATGGTATCAAAAGCCGCTGAGAGGTCTAACAGGACCAGAACAGAGGAACAACCCCTGTCCCGAGCCCTCCAGAGATCATCAACCAACGCGACCAATGCCGTTTCTGTGCTGTGCCCAGACCTGAAACCCGACTGGAACGGATCTAGATAAGATGTTTCCTCCAGGAATTGCGGAAACTGTCGTGCGACCACACTCTCAACAACCTTCGCCATAAAGCGAAGGTTGGAGACAGGACGATAGTTGGCCAATATTGCCGGATCCAGGGACGGCTTCTTGAGGAGAGGCCTCACCACCGCCTCTTTCAAGGCGGTGGGGAAGTAACCCTCACTCAACGAAGCGTTGATAACACCCTGGAGCCAGCCTCGTGTAACCTCCCGGGAAGCCAGTACCAACCAGGAGGGACACGGGTCCAGTAAACATGTGGCCGCACTAAGTCTCCCCAAAATCCTGTCCACATCATCAGGAGTCACAGCATCAAACTCCTCCCAGATAACATTCTCAAGACTATTCCTCGTCACCCTGCCCTGATCTACCCAGTCAGAGTCCAAATCCCCCCGGATCTGGGCGATTTTGTCATACAGGTATTGTCCGAAATCCTCCGCCCTGCCTTCTAAGGGATCCTCCCGCACTCCTGGATGGAGCAGGGCGCGGGTCACCCTAAACAGGGCAGCCGGACGATTCCCTGATGACGCAATAGAGGCGGAAAAGTAGTTAGACTTTGCCGTCTCTATCGCCACTAGGTAGGCCTTAATATGCGACCTTACCAGTGTTCGATCAGATTCAGCGAGACTGGCCCTCCAACCGCTCTCCAGGCGTCTTTTCCGGCGCTTCATTTCCCTCAGCTCCTCAGTAAACCAAGGAGCCGCACGGGATCGGCATCGGGTCAGAGGCCGCAAAGGCACAACTCGGTCCAAGGCCCCACCAGCCGCCCGATCCCAGGCGGCTACCAGGTCCTCGGCCGAGTCATGTGCTAGATCCTCAGGAAATGGCCCAAGCTCCGTCTGGAACCTATCAGGATCCATCAGGCGCCTGGGGCGGATCCATCTAATTGGATCCACCTCCCTGCGGCGAGGGGTCGCGGTTCGAAGATCTAGGCGAAGGAGTGAGTGGTCAGACCATGACAAGGGTTCCATGTCTATATCCCCTATAACAAGACCACTCAACCACTGGCCAGAGACAAAAATCAGATCCAGAGTGTGACCTCCCCTGTGAGTAGGGCCATGAACTAACTGGGTCAGGTCCATGGCCGTCATGGAAGCCATGAACTCCCGAGCCACCTCAGACGTTTCACCGACGGATGGCAAGTTGAAATCACCCATGACTAAAAGCCTGGGTGTATCTACTGCCACCGTGGCTATCACGTCGAGTAGCTCAGGTAGGGCTGTTGCCACGCGGCAGGGAGCCAGGTACGTAAGCAACAAGCCCATCTGAACCCCACGGCCCCACCTCACAAGGAGGGACTCACATCCGGCTATCTGAGGCACAGTGGTCTCCCTCGGACCCAGATCCTCATTAATAATAACCGCCACCCCCCCGCCCCTCCCCTGAGCCCTCGGCTGATGGAATGCTCTGAAGCCTGGTGGGCACATTTCAACCAGAGGGACGCCACCCTCCGGGCCCAACCAGGTCTCCGTAATACCCGCCAGGTCCGCTCCTCCCTCTTGTATAAGATCGTGAATGAGGGGGGCCTTATTGACCACGGACCTGGCATTGCACAGCATCAGCCGAAGGCCCAGCTCCTGAGTATCTAAGCCACCTAGTATCCGAGCAGAGCCTTGGGGACCGGGGCAAGCAATTGCTCTCAGACAGCAAGTGCGAGCCCCCAGCACCTGATGTGGTCCCCTGCTCCCGCCATATCTGCCCCTCCCATTCACCGTGCCGATGGTACAGCCCTCATAGATATCGTCCCCCATCCCTTTCCCAATCCCTCGTCCGGTGCCCCCCGGATCGTTACCCTGTGCCGGGCACGGCTCTGACCCTGGTGGATTTCCCCCCCAATCCGCCTTAGTCGTCTTCCCAATATCTTTAAAAGAATAATTACAACCCCCTCCCCCAGAACCCCTTAAAATCTTTAAAAATTTCCCTAAAAAGCCCCATAAATTCTTCCTTGCTCCATGCCATCTCTCCGGACTCCAAAGTCCGTCATCGAGATAGGCCCTCGATAATGTGGGGGGCCAAATCTGCGAGAGGGGAGAATCTCGCAGGGCGAGGAGTTCCGACACCGAATACATATAGCTATCAAGGGGAAACAGTCCAAGGGTGGGGGACCACTGATGTTATAAGCGTAGGGAAAATTCCAGTCCATGGTCAGGCTGCCAAGCTCCACTGTCCTCTCACGACAGTGGCTAAGGAGGTGCATATCATTCGACCCCGAAAGTTTCCAGGGTGGCCGTCTCTCACCAGGCCAATCCATGGGGACTTTGATAGAAAGCTCAAGGGTGAGGATAGCCATATTCCGCCTCCTCGGCCCCATGTCCATAGAACCAGTATCCCAGTAATAAAGTAAAATGATGGTATATTGAATTATAAACCAAGATCCTCATGATTTTCTCTTAATGGCATAAAAGAATAAAAGCGGTACTAACTTCCATTATGTTGGGAGCAGTTTTACATGTAACCACATCTCTCTCACTTTTTACTTCTGTAGGAAATGTATTTCTTTCAGCTATTCAACTGCTGTTCCACAAAAGTTATATCATATCAGGCAGCATTGCTTTCAGGTTATGTTAAAACGTCTTTCCTCTGTCCTTCAATTTTTGTAATATTGACAGTGATAGTACTGATGTTATTACCTAGTTTGGGTAATGAAACATCTGCAAAAAAACAACCAAGCTCAAAGAGCACCAAGGACCCCCTCATTTCACCCCTGAGCTATAACTATTCTCCTCTATCAAGACCATGACCTATTTCGACTTTGAGCCTATCCCGCCCTCCCGCATTCAATCCTCTAACCCATGTCCAGGTGGTATGTTTTATATCTGTGTACTGCTCAAGCACAAACCAAGTTAAAGAATGAGAAATCCCATGTTATATGATTGTACTTCAACCTTTCCTTAAAATGTTTCCAGGAAGTCAAATAGAAGTTGAAGTCTTCCCAATACAAACTAACACATCCTGGGGAATGCCCAATCTATGAACTATTCTAAGATCATATCAAAATTCAGTTACCTGGCAACTGACTCAAATTTATGACAATTGCAGTGTCCTGGGGTCATTTGATCACCTTTTGCGATCTTCTGACAAGCGAAGTCAATGGTGAACTGAGATTCACTTAACATCTGTGTTACTAACTTAGCAACTGCAGTGATTCATTTAACAACTGGCAAGAAAAGTTGTAAAATGGGGCAAAATTCAGTTAACTGTCTCACTTAGCAACAGAAATTTGGGACTCAATTGTGGTTTTCAATCAAAGACTACTTGTATAGATATGTTCTCAGTCTAAAATGCAAAACAATTTTCTCTGTGATGGCATATACCGAGCCAAAAAATATTCAATATATTATTTTTTGTGATTTTTAGACTGAGATCCTTCAAATCTTTGATCTGATTTACACATGAAATACCAAGGAGTACGCATTTTTGTGCTACTACAAAGTTGGATTCCCTTTTGTAGAGCCCCAATTTACTTCACTCAAATATACAACATATAATTGATCCTGGCTATTGCTACATAGCTGTGGAACAGAGTACCCTGTGAAATACAATTAAACCACCTTTCAAACACAGGTAAGGGGGAGGGGGAATGGCAAGCAGAGGTGAGGAAACATGGACCATGATACCAGCTCTCCCCCCTCATGTATTTTTATACAACAGTGTGATGCTAGTATGAAAGGGCAGTTCTTATGCTGTGATATCATAACACACATTTCAGCATTTTTAGAATTAGCATCATCATGATTAGGCCTCCAGATTTCCAATATTATTTCTCCAATTTCTCATTCCCATTCTCCTCCACTGTATTGTAATGAGAGTAGGGGATGCTAGACTACATAAACTGGACAAAAAGAAAACATGTTCGAGAATTTATACATTGTTTCTATGTTTTAATAATTTATTGTACATCACCCAGAGTCCATCTGTGAGGGAGATGGGCAGTTCCAAATTAAATAAAATTTAACAAATTTCCCCTGGAATGTAAAATGTGTCAACTTTTTACAAGCATTGTATTTCAAGTATAAATGATCAAATACAAGCCCTTCCATATAGTGATCAAATATATTTTCCCTTCCAGCTAATGTACAGATACATATACGTAGAAGCCAAGATGCCAGGTGGGAGTTATATTACAAATAATTACAATTTGTCCTCAAAGCATGAAGTGGGGATTTTCCATGGCCTTATTTTCCAAGAAAAATGAATAAACTGATAGCTAGCCTAGTACCTAACAGACTGAGTTCTGAGGTGGGAAATTCTGTGGCTTCCTTCTCAGCTTTGACCCCCCCCCCCAACATAATATGAACATACAGTTACAGGCCTATCTATTGAAGTATTTTAAGTGGCCAGGTGTGCCTTTGCACAATTTCATATTGTGCACCACCTGGGTCCATTCTTGGAGTGTGAGGCTGTTCACTGTCACTTATGTTGGTTGCCAGTACTTCTGACTGCAATTCAAGGTGCTGATAAAGACTTCTTTTATTAGGGAGTACTCTCTGGTGGGGCTAGGTAGAGAGCCTTTTCTATTCCAGCAACTTTTGGTTGGAACCTCCTTCCCACAAGATTAAATTGCCCCTGTCTCTGTTGGCCTTTTGCATGGCTTTAAAGACATGGCTCTGTCACTGGGTCTGGGGATCTGCGTGTAGTTCTCAGTCCAAGCAATACCTGTGTTGTAGCTTTTTTTTTTTTTTTTTACCTTGGCTGCTGTTGTTTCTTTATTGGTACTTAGCCAGAGCAGCATCAAGTTAGTAAATATGGAAGGACATTGAGAAGTTCAGCATTTACACCATCTCTCACCTTGAAATTCTCAAAGAAGCCACCACCCCCATTCTCTATTTTGTCCTCATCCCCCAAGGCCAGGCCCATCATACTGCGGCTACGAATCTGCAGTTCTTCATATAGGCTCTCCAAAAGTGCACTGCGGGTGCGCTCCTGCTCCAGGAAGAGAGAAACAAAGAAAAGCATTGTTGTCAGAGATTTCAAGTCAAACTATGGGAGGGGAATAGCAAAAGGGGAAGAGGCAAAACAGAAGGCCATTTCATGTCTGGATGGGTTACATAATGTTGAGTCATAGTTCTGAGCTTACATCCTCCAGTGTTATGAAGTTGCATTCAGTTCAAAAGTCTTCTATTTATTTACTTAAATATATATTAATTCTGCTTTTCATTTAAAAAGGGCCAACGCTAGAAAGTTAGGAGCAAATAAGCAATGGGATGACGATTTTCTGTCTGTCTGACCCTATTTCTAAAAAGGAAGTGAGTGGCACAGCAGACTAATGCTACTGTTAAAGGTAGTATTTAGCTTCCGGCTGTCTGCAATTACTGTGAGTTCAATTTTCACCAGGCTCAAGGTTGACTCAGCCTTCCATCCTTTCTAAGGTACGTAAAATGAGGACCCGGTTTGTGGGGGCAATAAGCTGACTTTGTATAAAATATACAAAAGTATGAAGGCTATTGCTTAATGCCTTGTAAGCCACCCTGAGTCTCCGGAGAAGGGCGGCATATAAATAAATAATTAAAAAAAAAGAGTAAATAGAAAGTTGGCAGGTAGACATAAGTTACATTAAAAAAGAAACCTGGGCAGTCATTTTGAGAGAATATCCAGGTATGCTTTCAAAATTCCAGTTCCAGTTCAAAGAAACTGCCCGCCCTGCCTTAGGAACTATTTCATAAAAGCCTGCATGAAAACTAATATTTAATATCAAAAGCCTTATAATCTAGATCCCTTCTCAGAGATTAAGCAAGAGAACTTCTGAGAAAGGAATGTCTCCATGGTAATGGTACAGAATGTTTCCTAGTTGAAATCTACCAGAAAATGAAGATCTGTATCTTGACAAGTTGATAATGAAGATGATAATTACTAGCTTTGAGGTATAAAATAATTTATTCTTGTTGCCAGTAAATTCAGACTTTCCTTTATTTTATTTTGTTTTGTTTTTATTCTCCTTTTACATATGTCACTTCTGTATACCACAGATTCAACAAAAATAAAATAATGTTATTGAAAAGCTTTTTTTCTGGATGGTTTCACCCAAGATTCCAAGTAAGAGTCAGAATGCATCTGCCAAAAACATCATACAAATACAGCCATTCACTTCCTTTTTTTTTTTAGCTATTCTGAACATTCCTTAAAGAAATTTACCATATTGTTAACCAGCTGGATTTTAGGCCCATAGCTAATAGGGTCAAAAGTGGGCAAATCAGAAGGCACCAGATTATAGATGAATGTCTTAAAATTAAAATAAGAACATCTATTTTTCATTTTGGATTTGCTGAATTTTTGTGATTTCTTGATTTTATGAATTCAGTAGTTTAAACTGTGGCACTTAGGGAAAAAAAAGTAATGGAAATGACTGTAATCAATAACACCTCTATTTATTTCTGAAAGCTCTATATCCGTACAGCTAAATTAGCAAATATTAGCAAATTAAATATTATCTTACTGGACAGAGTTCATACAAATCAGCTGCTGATAGTATTCAAGCACATTTGCATGGACTGAATTGTACAAGGATTTCAGGAAAACCTGTAACTACTCCACTTCCAAGTACAGCCAATCTCTAATCCAGCTTCATCCAAATGCTTGTTTATTGATGATTGTTACTGTAAGATGTTAAGTGGAAAAAACTACATGCCATTTGATTATGTCCTTTTCTTGAGGAAATGTTCATTTTAAAAGGGCATCAAATTCTTTTCATCCATTCCCAACTCTCAGGAATCTTAAATGTAATTTTAACATTGGGAGAAATTTTCCAAAGCTGATATTTCAGCAATTTATATACATGGTTAATTGTGCATTTTCATTTAATATATTTTGTTTCATACAGGTATTTGCTTGAGAAGCTATTAATAGAAATGTATTAAGCAACCAAACTTACTTCCAACTTGGCAAATTTCTCAGCGTGGTAACAGCTATACTCAGCATTTATAAGCTTTGCTAGAAGAAATTCACGGAAGTCCGTGCCCTGTAGGGAGCAAAAAAGGAAGGCTACTCCATCATGTTGGACATTCTGTAGGGTCTCCTCTCACTTTAACCAATGAGAGCTACAACCGTTCTGGTTAAAGAATGAAGGGTTTGGGAATGCTTTTTAGCCAGCCAAATTAACATGGGCTCTATGGAACTACAAGAACCCAGAAGGATGTCTTAAGAATATGATTCCATTTGTAACATATACTTCATGAATGCATTGAAATATACTTTAATACAACCTTGTTTGGACTGTGCAGCTATAAAATCACTCTCTCCCATAACAATGTACATGATTCTCATAGAGAAAAACAATCCTCTTCTATATAAAAAGAGTGTGAGCTTTTCTTTCGATGTGGAATCATTTTGCACAGAGGAGAACACAGACAGCAGGAATGTGTATACAGGTAGTTCTTAACTTACAACAGTTTGTAAAACGTTTGTAAAATGGGATGTTTGTAAAATGGGATGCCCAAGTGTCTGACCCGGATTTTATGACCTTTTCTGTGTTTGTTGTTAAACAATAAGTTCACTATGGGCTTTTTTTTTTTTTTTTGCAAAAAAACAGAAGTAAATGCCACTTTTCGGTAAAACATCTTAACTATGTGATTTGGGACATGTGACTGTGGGACTATGTCCCATAGTCACGTCATAGTCACGTCATAGTCATGAATACAAGCCAGTTGCCAAAAAATGCAGTCACAGGACTTGGGGGAGTGGTTGTTGGAACTTTAGAACTGGGTTGTAAATACACCTGGGAGATCCATCGTAACTTTGAACAGTAGTTAAGTGACCAGCCATAAATCTAGTACTATCTGTAAGACCCAAGAGATTTACCTAACCGAGGTTTCACTGAAGAATCTCAATTGATTCTGTTGCCTCAGGATATATATTGAGAACTGTGACATGAATGAGCATTAATAGAACATGAATTCAGTCAATGCTCTCTCTGTTCACTATAAGATATCTTTCAAACAGTTGCACCTGACTATCACACTTATGACCTAGGAACAGCAGAGACAAATCTATAAAAATCTCCCTGGTCCTGTTTGCTGAGTCCTTACTGCAGCAAACAAAGAGCCTTGGTACTACAGTGGTTTAAAGCACCCTGTTATTAACACAGCTGCCTGCAATTTACTGCTGGTTGAATCTCTCCAAGGCTCAAGGTTGACTCAGCCTTCCATCCTTTCTAAGGTAGGTTAAATGAGGACCCAGTTTGTGGGGGCAATAAGCTGACTTTGTATAAATATACAAAAGTATGAAGGCTATTGCTTAACGCACTGTAAGCCGCCCTGAGTCTCCGGAGAAGGGCGGCATATAAATCAAAATAAAATAAAATAAAATAAAATAAAAACTCTAAAGCCTTGCAGCTGGAATTTGCTCTGTACTTCACTGTTGGATATACACTGAAACATTCCCCTGAAAAAAATGGCTTCCAATTTGCCCAGGTGGGTCTAAAAAATAGAAAAGCAAGATTTGTTTGTAAGATTATCTGCATGATGCTGTTGCTCTAGTTGTTAACTGGTTCATTGTTTGACAATGTGAAATGAACTGCAATAATTGTCTCCAAATTGGCTGTTGTGTTAAAAGGGGAAGAAGGATTATTACTCAGACAATCAAACTGCACACCGCAGATATGAAGGGTTAGATCCCTAAGAATATTTGGTATCATATATGATTTTCTTAATCCTGGATAATCTGCAGAAATATCCAGCCTGTAGTGTTGGAAAAACCTGCTCCAGGGACCAGACATACCAACCTTTTTGAATACTGCTGGATTTGGAAGAGCGGGGCCAAAAAAGGGAACATCATCGCGGGCAGTCACAGAAACCTGAAACCATCACAATTAACAGAGTAAGAGGGAGCAGAAAAGTCACTGCAGCCTTAAAACAAGAATTAATAAATTACATTTCTGCCAACCAGGATTGGCAACACTCCAGTTGTAGGTTTCCCTTTATGCCAGATTGACTCAGGAGAAGAAGGAAGCATTGTAAAACTGGTTTTTAAAAGCATTTGATCAAGCTATTGTTTATTGATTTTTTTATTCTACTTCTTTGCAGTTAGTTTTAACTTTAATTTATTATGCTGCTTTGATTGCTTTTTATATTTTATCCAATTATATACCCCAATATAATAATCGTACATTTCCAAATTCCATGGAGAGGGAATTTTGTCTAGATTTCATATACTTTCCTATTCTACCACCTCTTACAATATTAGGCAACATAGTATCAACAGTAGAGACCTTCAAGTTTCTAATAGTTTTTACTATCTCCAAGGGCTTGAAATGGACACCTAACATTAGAACCATCATTAAAAAGGCACAACAAAGAATGTTCTTCCTGCGTCAACTTAAAAATCTCAGATTGCCCAAGGATCTGCTGATACAGTTCTACAGAGAAATTATTGAGTCTGTCATTTGTACCTCAATAATTGTCTGGTTTGGCACAGCAACCAAACAGGACAGGTACAGACTTCAATGGATAGTGCTGGAGAAAAACAGTCACAAACAGCCTGCCTTCCACTGAGGACCTGTATAATGCACGAACCAGAAAGAGGGCTGAGAAAATATCTACAGACACCTCACATCCTGGACATAATCTATTTCAACTTCTCAGTTGAAGTTGAGCAGCCCTCAGGACACTGCTATAGAATATTGCGTGCCAAAACAACCAGATACAAAGGTAGTTTTCTCCCATGTGCCATCATTCCGATGAACACTTAATTCCCACAGCAATGTCTCATTTTCTCATCTTATCTCTTCTCATCTTTCCTACTATCATCTCCTATTGGTTTCTTATGATTTATCAGTTGTTGTTTGTAGCTTGTGATTAATTTTTGTAACTATGATTATGACCTATTACTTGCTGTTATATGTTTACTGAGAGCTTATGCACCGGAGATAAATTCCTTGTGTGTCTGATCACACTTGGCCAATAAACTACTCTACTCTACTCTACTCTACTCTACTCTACTCTTAAAAAATCTGTTTAATATAACATCTATTATAAAGATTTATATAAATTTACTGATTGTTTAGTATTAGGTTTAGATCCTGATACAGTTCATGTTCTATTGATGCTTGAATTTTAAAAGTTCTAGTTAATTCAAGCAGTGTCATTCTGAAATGCTAAATGAATTATTAGTATCCTTTAGTTTAGTTCCCTTATTCTTTTTAAATTTCTGATCTACATATCAAGTAAGTAAGGGCACAGCATCCACCAGGGGGTCAAAACAGGCAAGATGGTGATCACATTGAGACTGAAGACCTCCCTTTCTACATAGACCCACACAATCACTGAAGTTGTATACTACCGGTACTACTTTACATGGATATTTGTACAGTACTGACATTAAAGTAATAGGCCCTTTTTAATGCAATTGCAGTATTTCTTCCGAGAACTATCATCAAGAACAATTACTCTTACCATCTTATGGCTAATGCATATTTTTATTTTACTCTTGAACAAATACATATATTTTATTTTTGTTGAAAAATGAGAACAAGAATGGATTGGAGATTCTGAAGAAAGAAAAGGGAGAACAAAGTGTTTTCCCTTGACCCCTGTTTCCCCAAAATAAAATAGCTACATATGAGCATAGACTAATGGTTGTTGCTGAGGAATAAAAGAAGAATAGTCCAGCAGTAGTGACAATAGAAAAGTTAAGAGAATGATAAAACATGAACTAAGAATGTAGCAGGCACTGTAATGCCACAGAACATTCTGTGGCTTCCCCAGTAATGGTAAATTGTGGACTCTGTGCCTTTACCTTGTACAGCGTCTCTCCACTGGCATTGTGATGGAGTTGTACCACCATGTAAGCATGTAGAAAATTTGATGCAATCATATCGGGCACAAAAGGAGTATTTTCATCTTGGAAGACAATGGCCACAATATCATTCCCGATGTGGCGCTTGCGTTGGAGCTGAAAGGGGAACAAAGAAGATTGCACAAAGTGGTAACCTATCCTATATAGTTTAGGCAATCCTCAAACCAATTCCATCCTATTCCAAATTGAGGGATGTTTGTAGCAAGCTCTAGTTTGCCCACAGTCACCTTGTGGAAGATGGACAACATAAAAATTTAATAAATTAATAAGTAAAATAAAAGGTTTGTTAATCTACAACTAGAACCTTTCCTCCTGCAAATTCTGACATCCCTTCAAATTTCTGTTGCTCAAAAACAATGGTGCCCTTCTATTATTTTGGAACAGGAAACCTAAACCTAAATGTAAAACTAGTGTAAATCCTAAAATAGGCTTAGTGATGTTTAGAAAGAAAGAATACTCGCCAATGTCCTACCCACCAAATCTAAGAAATTACAACCGTCATAGTTCCACCAGTATACTGCAGAGACTGTGGCCTTTTCTAAAAGTTTGTTCAGCCCTGGGCCAGGGTTTGGATATCAAATTCTGTAAGACAGAATATGTAAATATTTTGCACCTATGTACATTTTATTTTCTCTTTTTGCATATAAGCAAAGACGCAGGACTGGAAATGATCATAACCCAATTAAACTGGGAAATTTATGAATGACTTCAAAATAACCCATGTAATAGTTTGAATATAAGACTAGATCCTGAATCTTGGCTTGTCATTGTCAAATTCCAACTCATGCACAGTTGAAAGTTAGATTTAAGTACAATTTTTAAAAAATTTACGATCAACAATTAGCAAAATTACAAAAACATATCAAACATAATAGAAGCCATGGTCATTCTTGCAATGCCCAATTTTCACTGCTACTATAGTGTATTTGGCTAGCATGCTGGAATGTTTGGGTCTAAAAAGGAAGCAATTTAACATATCTATTCTGGCAGAATATTAGTATAAAAGGGTCAAAGTATAACACAGAGATCCCTGTAAGTACAATATAATAGAACACACTGCATTGTTTCAATTTCCCCAGTCATATGAGGAAGTGCACTCAACTAATGGGGTTTTAGGGTATCCATCCTGCAAACACTGAGAAGGGAGTTCATGCTGCCTGCTCATTCTGGGAAAAATAAACAGTTTAGATAATTTGAACGTTCCCAAGGAGCTTTTGCAGCCCATCCTGTCCTTCTCTATGAATTTTTATTAGCCTCAAATTGACAATATCTGAAGACAAACTCTGTCCCCTTCCCAATTCTACTCAATATACCTGCTGGGCATCTCCCTCTGTGAAAGGCAACATTGTAGAGACATGAAACATGATCTCTTTGCCCCGAAAATTTGTGTAGATAGATTCTGTTCCTGTCTGGCCTCTTGTAACATCCAGTCCACCTCGGAATCTGAACAGAACAACAGAGGGAAGGCAAAGGGAAAGAGAACCAAGAGAAGAAGGACAAAAATTAGGGGTTTTTTTTATTATCAAAGATGGGGACCTAATTCATGACTTAATTAACTGCATCTACTACTATTGGTCAAAACTTAGTCAGATACATATCTCAGGAAAAAAAAGGTCACTAAAGAAACCTATGGTCACATAAGTGAAGATTGTTATTTGCTTCATTTCCCTTCTATTTTCAGTATTTTAAAGGAATCAGTTAACCTCCTATTAGCATATTACAGCACCCTTTCATCATTTGAGCTGAGCTTGAACCAGAGGGACTATTTTAAGATAGTAAAGATAAACTAATGCACTTGTGAGTCAGTGTGGTGTAGTGATTAAGGCACCAAGCTAGAAACCAAGGAACTGTGAATTCTAGTTCTAGTCTCCTGCCTTGGGTACAAGCCAGCTGGGTAACTTTGGGCCAGTCACTCTCTCTTAGCCTCACAGCAGGAAAGGACAAACCACTTCTGAAAATTTTTGCCAAGAAAACTGCAGGTATTAGTTCAGGCAGAAGCCAACACTGATTTGACGGCACATACAGATGCAAACAGACTCATAAGGAACCTACAGAGGAATTTATTTCTGAGTAAATATATGTTTTTCCATCCCATCTAAGCGGATAATGTGGTACACTGCAGGTCCTTTCCCTTACACATTGTCACCTTGTGGTTCCTCCAAACCATGCCTTTTCTGCTGCAGTTCCTGTCCTATAGATATAGAACATCCTCCCCATTGAGATCCATCAGACCCCTATCTGTCTATCATTCTGGAGAGGGATTAAAACCTGGCTCTTCCACCAGGCACTGGGATAGGGCAAGATCAGGATATGGATACACTAGAACAGAATAATTGTGGTGCCATGACTTTCTAGTGTTGTTGGGTTTATACTGTTTTATCACTTGTAAGCCACCTAGATTTTTTTAGACGATGGAGGGTTATAGAATTTTTTTAAAATAAGTAAATAAAAATATATGCTGTTTCTTGAGATGGCTCATCCATTGTGCTAGCCTGAGAACAAAAGAGTCATAGCATGGTCTAATCATAATAGGCAAACCATACCAGGCTCCACAAGGATGAGAGCAGATCTATTTTCAAGTGCTAACAAGTATTCGGAGTCATTTTGTACCTTTCAGGGCCGGTGAGAAATTTTCCCTGTTGGCTTCCACTGTGAGTCATGCCTGATTGAGGACATCTCCATGAATGGGTGGAAATGGTGATTGCTGTGTAGAATGAAAGACTGGTGGATGGTCCTTCAAAGCTCTCCAGAGAAGGAGAGAACAGGAGATTGCCCACAAGTGCTCTGAAAGGTAGCGCCTCATAAACAGACCATAAAACAATGGTTTCCTGCAGGTTCGAGTGCCAGGAGCCGAGGAAGACAACATCTTTGCTCTCAGCAATGGTAGAGCCTTTTACAAGAACACTAAACTAGTTGAACTTCACTTTCCAATCATATTTGGAAATGTTCAGTTTATTAATGACTTTATGGATATTAGGGACCTTCAAAATGAATTTGGAACCTGTGACTTTTACTTTCTTCTTTCAAGAAGAAAGACCTAAGTCTTTCCCCTTTTTAAATGGAAATTTTAAATTTGGTTTTAAATTATTGGGGTTTTAAATTTGTTCAGCCAAATTATTTAATTCGTTTTAGTTTATTTTAAATTTTGTATCTATATGTTTTATTCTATGGCTGTTTATTGTATACAAATTCAATAAAATAAATAAATAAAATAAATTTAACAAAACTTAAATAGAGATTTTTTAAAAAAATTTAATTTATATGCCGCCCTTCTCCGGAGACTCAGGGCGGCTTACAATGCGCTAAGCAATAGCCTTCATCCTTTTTGTATATTTATACAAAGTCAGCTTATTGCCCCCACAACTGGGTCCTCAATTTACCTACCTTAGAAAGGATGGAAGGCTGAGTCAACCTTGAGCCTGGCGAGATTCGAACCTGCAGTAATTGCAGGCAGCTGGTCTTAATAACAGGGTGCTTTAGACCACTGTACTACCAAGGCCCTTTAAGATTTAAGAATTTAAAATAAAATACAATAAGCAAAAGGCAAAAAAAAATATTAAGATTTAATATTTTAGAAATAAATGGATTATGCGACTAGGAATATTGGCTATTTTTGCTATAAAATCTGAAAAACAAGTAGATAGTTAAATAATATACTTGTTGGAAATGACTGAAACGGAACTAAACCCATATTAGAAACTGAGGCTTGATAAAGGTTGCAAATGGACACTAGAGGGAACAAAATAAACACACACACATTAAAAAAACACCAGTCAAAATGGCTAAGTTGGCTATAATCTTTTTCTTATCCTAGAGTTTTTGGATAAATGGACCAAAATGTTAACTAAAATCTCAGAATAAATACAAATTTCAATGGATAAATTTTTAAAAGATGAGAAAAAATTAAAAACTTTTACCAGGTATTGACATTATAAAATTTGAAGGCATGGAAGACAACCAAATTGAGATTACCAAAATGGGAATATGAAGGACAAATCAAGAAAAAGATCTGGACATGGAACAGCTGCAACAAGAATCCTGGACAAGGGATTTATAAAGTAGGTTGGAATGTCTTGAATGCCAAAGACTGATGAAAAATCAAACCCACTGGAATGATTTAAAGCAGGGGTGTCAAACTCATGGCCCGTGGGCTGGATGTGTCACGCTCTGGCCACGTCCATCCCCAGTTTAGCGAAGAGGAAAAAAGTCACAATACATCACATGATGACATGATGATGCAAGTTGACACCCCTGATTTAAAGGCCAAAATTGTAAAGAGCAAAAAGAAATAATATAAAATTGGACTGTTTGATCAGGGATAAATTATTTGTTTAATATTTCTGGTAACTCCTAATGGACTTTTGCTGAACCATCTGAAAAGATGACATTATATGAACAGCAAATAAATAGTTAGGCTATGGGAATTATTTGTAACTTTAAAAGAAGGTGAAATGTTACATTATTTTATGCTTGGTGTGACAAAGTTTCTTTTCCTTTTGTTCTTTTTTTCTGTACTTCCTGAACTTTTTCCTTCTAGTTTAGTTTGTATTAGTTTTTACTGTGTTTATTAAAAACTTCAATAAAATTATACTTTAAATTATATTTTAAAAATAAGGTTATCAAGGGCAATATAGGAAAACTAATTTGGTAGTAGGCTTAACATGGAAAGCACTTACCCACGAAAATCCTGCAGCTGGATCCTATCGCCTAGGAGATCTAAAAACTCTAAGAAGCCTAAACTCTCTTCTGTATTACTGAAGACTTCTTCCTCTGTGGTCTGGGAGTAAAAAAGAGAAGAAAAGAAAATGGGAGGAGAAAGTCATTTCTCATTCTTTCTTAAATTATCCTAAGGATACTTTTGTACAAAGGATACAAGTCTGAAATGGTATATAGCTGAGGTGCTCAAGTTCAATCACAGTACATTATTCACCTCACTGGGTGATTTTGGACAAGCCACTTTCCCAGCCTTGTCAACCTCTTTAAAGAATTGTTACCAGAGTAAAATGTATTTGGGGTGAAATATGCATTCCGGTATTTGCTCTTCAAGAAAAAAAAGAATATAAAAAATGTAAGTAGAAAAATAAAATTACTCTTCCTGTTCAATACTTCCTCATTTTTCCCTGACCTACAGAATGATGGAACATCCTGTGCTGGTTTAGGCTGGGTCTAAAGACAAGGCCTAGTACTGTAGAAAGTTAGAACCCACCCCTCTCCTAGAAAAATGAAATATTCTAGGAAATATTAAAAAGCAGAATATTTCCTCTAAAAGAGAAATAGAAATCTTAAGACAGAAACTCAGCCCCAGCTCCCTGCCCCCAGCAGATACTTTGGTTATTTACAAGACAAAAGGCTGAGCCAGCTTATCTACAGCACAAAAGACATGGCCCTCAGGACATGATAGGATTAGCTCTCACTCAAGATCCAAACCAGGACAAAACCATTAAGCCATAATAGGAATTGCCCAAAGCCCCTTCATTACATCATCACCTAACAAGATTCAACCAGGCCTGGGACACAGACAGCCTACAATGTTACCTAAGATCCCCACCCCCTGGGAGTCTGACAGCCAATAGGATACATTTCTTGTACAGGAATAGGAAACTCTAAGGCAGGGCCCAAGAGTATAAATATATCCCTCTCTGCACTCCATGTGCTCTTTTTTGCCCAGGACCCAAAAACCCCATGTGGTCCTGTCCACCATTAAACCATCTTTCCAAGCAGTCTCCATGTTTCCAGTATCTTTCTTTCCACTTGGAACTGAACCCAGATGGTACACTACCAAGTACCAAGCTACCTTTTTTCTTGGCTGGCCCGTAACCCTCATGAAGCCCATGAAAAAGCACTCTCTGATTTTGCAATTCCAATGATACTACACTGAAATGAAACTTTATGTTAATGTATAGCACAGCACAATATTTAAATACACAAGAAAAGTGATTTTGATGCCGATTCTAGTAGTACTTGGCTCAGGGCCCTTCAGGATGTCTCATAAGAACCATGACAGAACATTGAAGAGCAACAGCGGTTTGGTCTGTTCACAGTTAACAAGGGTGGGGTTATAAGTCTTCTTGGAGGACCCCCCCCCTTTCATCTGATCAACTCTTCAAACAGTAACAAAGATTTCCAGATTGAATGTGTATGGCTTGAACATGGAGCAGAAAACTCAGTGTCTACTTTACTCTAGCCTGAAAAACTCTTTCTTTATAGTGGGGAAAAAATCAGAACTTTTCAGTGTGCCTCATCTCTTTGTTTGGCAAGCATACATTTACTAGTTGCTGACTGTACCCAACCCTGTTATCCCTGTGCAGGTTTTAAGAAAGATGCAGCCAAACTAGATGCAATGGGGAAAATAAATATTAGGTTTACAGCAAAGGGAGGAGGCATATCCAGTGTCTTCCTGCATGAAACAGTCTCGACTAATCTACCGTATTTTCCGGCGTATAAGACGACTTTTTAACGCATGAAAATCTTCTCAAAAGTTGGGGGTCGTATTATACGCCGGGTGTCGTTCTCCTGTAACCAGGCAGACCAGCCCGAAAGGCTCTCACGAGCCTTAAATGGCTCTGGCGATCCCAACTCTGGCGATCCCAGCTCTGACAATCCCTGAGTTCCCTGCAACTCAGCAGGGATCGCCAGAACCATGGCTCTGATGGTCCCAGCTCTGACGGTCGATCCCAGCTCTGACGATCCCAGCTGAGTTCCCTGCAACTCAGCTGGGATCGCCAGAAACCATGTAAAAAGAAAAAAGTTTTTTCCCTTTTACTCTGACGATCCAAGCTCTGAAGATCCCAGCTGAGTTCCCTGCAACTCAGCTGGGATCGCCAGAACCATGGCTCTGACGGTCCCAGCTCTGACAGTCGATCCCATCCCAGCTGAGTTCCCTGCAACACATCTGGGATGGCCAGAGCCATGTAAAAAAGTTTTCCCCCTCCAGCTTGCTTACCTCAGCTGCTAGTCGCAACGCTTGCCTTGCTTCGCTTGCCTGAATCTATTCCATCAGGAAGCAACTCCCTGCCTGCAATCAAGCAGGCAGGGAGTTGTGGACTTCAACTCCCAGAATTCCTCAGCCAGCAAAACAAAGCTGGCTGAGGAATTCTGGGAGTTGAAGTCTACAAGTCTTAAAGTTGCCAAGGTTGGAGACCCCTGTTCTATTGGGTAAGTTTTTTTCCCCTTTGGGAGCTTTAAAAAAAATAGTCAATTGGGGTTTTTTTATTTGTTCTTTTTTAGACCTAGCCATTTAAAGTTTAGGAAGTTTTAAATTTAGCTTTCATATAAAAATAAAAATAAAATAAAATAAAATAATATTTGTGCAGCTTTCTGAGATTTAGTGTGTTTCTGTAGTGTTTCACTCTAACTACACAAACACACAAAATCTCACAAAGCTGTATGTGGAATTTTGTGTGTGTAAAGTGTGAAAGTTGGTTTTTTGGGCTTTTTGTGGCTGTGTGAGGTTCCTGCTTGTTGCAGGGGCCATTTTGGGTCTAGCACAGCTGCTTTTACATTGTGGGTGAGCCAGTTGTGTTGTGTTGTGTGTGTTTAGAGTGTGAAAGTTTTTTTGGGGGGCTTTTTGTGGCTGTGTGAGGTTCCTGCTTGTTGCAGGGGCCATTTTGGGTCTAGCACAGCTGCTTTTACATTGTAGGTGAGCCAGTTGATGTTTTTTAATTTTTATTTGGTGTGCATTGGAAGAGGGGTAGTCTTATATGGCGAGTATAGCCCAAACCCTATATTTTAACAGGAAAAGTTGGGGGTTGTCTTATACGCCCAGTCGTCTTATACACCGGAAAATACGGTATATTTTACCATTTTAGAAAAATGTTAATTTTGTTTAATTTTTTTATTGCTGTTTGAGTACTCATTTTCTATTTGGCCCTTTAAAACAAAAGCACAAGGCTAAAGATGCTGGCAGAATTATTGTGCTGTAAGCTGCAAAGCTGTAGAATCAGAAAGCTTTCTCAGTTCAAAATGTTCTGCAGAATATTTTCCACTTGGAACAAATTTAGCAGTTTCAAAACTATATGGAATTTGATTATCTATTGCCCAACATTGTTTTCAACACTACACTAAAAGCATTTTTTTCTCCACACATCAAAGCTTTTAATTTCTTTGAATGTACAGTTGATGCGTCATCAAATGGACTAGATTTTGATTTTTTTCACATCAAATAATGTAGCCCAAATACACGTGCAGGATATTAAGGTAGAATCATATTAATTTGCAGAAGAAGAAAATCCTCCAAAGTCCACATCTCTAATAATAGGTATACTACAGTATAATTTTCCAGTTAGATTAAGGAACAAAAGGCAATTGACCTTTTCTTCAAAAAGAGTAACATGTGTCCTGAAATGGCTCCAACCTTTGAAGCAATCTTTTTTCATCAACCTTGCCTGTTATTTCTCAATGCTCCTGTTTTAGATTACTGAAGATAAGGCAGAAGTGACTGAGAATAGCGGGCATAAGATTAACAAGAAAGAAGTGACTATATACAAGCAGCAGAAGAGAGGGAGGATGCAATGGAAGGAATGGAAATTTGTCTCCAGTTTCCCCACATATACACGAGCAACAGGTGGGAGAGTGAAAAGTATTTTTACCTGCCCAAATTTTTGGTAGATGACACCAAACTTGAAGTTATTGCTGATGACATGTTCATCAAATGCAACAATGAGTTGGGAAGCCTAGCAGATGGAGAAAAAGCTTGAATTAGCAGCTGGTTGGAGAAAAAATATCTAGAACATTCAGAAACATACAGGGGTTACCTTAGGATACAGCACAGGAAAGAAACGGTCAACATTCACATCTTCACAGAGCAGCTGCAAGGCAAAGTAGGAGGACTTAGCATTCCTGATGTAGGAACCTGACTTCCTAGCCAAAGGACAAATGCCATTATGATTAATACGAGTCAGAGGAGGCTTTGTATTTTCAACAGATTTGCATTTGCAAGGGATCTGTCTTTTAATTTATTCCTTCTCTTGTTCAATTATTAAACTCGCATTTATAAATTTTCAATGCAATTAAATGTGGGTTTTTGAAATTAAATGTGGGTTTTAAACTTGTAATTAGTTAAACTGTCACACTATTAAGACTGGATGAAGCATATATACTTAGGAGTTTTACATGCAAGTTAACTGAAAAGAAATCATTATTCTTCGTCCCCCGAGAGTAACCTCTTAATAATTAATGTGAATAATTCTCTTCCATTCATTTTACAAAGATGCCAAAATGAAGAGTTGCCAGATTGGAGAAGACTGCTGCGTTGAATGAAAGTAAAGGATTCAATGGGCAAAGGAGTCCATTCAACAGAAAAGGAGCCAGAAAGCAAAGAAACTCAGATCTAAATTATTGGAAGCTTTATAATGAGAAAATTGGATATTTATATCGTAAGCTGTTTAAGAATGCCAAGGTGAAAAACAAAAATTTAAATGGCTCCAATATGCAATTGGCAATCAATGAAAATCTCTCAATCCGGGCATCTTATGATTGATGTTCCTTCATTAATCAGTAGCTTGTCCACTGCAATTTACATCAGTTGCAATTTGTAGAAATCTTCTAAGTGCAGCCCCACATAAAGCAGTAGTTGGGACAGGATGTATCTAGAATGTGATTAGGATTGTAGGAATGACTGGCAATTAATCCATTGCTTATAGTTGTGAAAACTGAATGACAACTCAAATCTAGGAGCTTTCCTAGACTGGAAATTTGCTCTTTCTGGAGGACAACAGTGCCACTCCAAACAGACTCCACTTTAAACCTCAAATCACACATTCTTCTTACCAGTAGCACCTCAACATTATTTCAGCTTGTTTTTCTCCATCCAATCTCAATTTAACCAACAGTCTAAGTACTAACTGCTTCCTTTGAAATAGATAATGAGTGTAGAGCTGACATTATGACATTCCAAATTTGCCAATGACCTCCCACAGCAGTTTCATGTAGATGTTAAACAACACGAGGAAGAGCGTGAACCCTCTGAAATTGAAATAAATCAGTGATCTAGATGTTGAGCAATAGTTCACACAAATCACCTTTGGGGTGCCTCCAAAGGATTTGAATTACTGCAAAATAGACCAATTCCAGCACACAATCCACAAGGACCCATTGTGGTTGGCAATTGCAGTTCTTGAGACTTTCAGGAAAACTAGAAGGATCACATTCATTTCCTCCTAGGTTCTGCCATAGGGCTTTATCCAAGGCAACTAGATCAGTCTTAGCATCATAGGAAATGGATCCAAACAATTATGTCAAGAAGCATCTGGAACTTTGCTGACCCTATCTTTTCAGTCATCTGATCCAGGAGTAGATACTTTCTATTTCTATAATTTCTACATTTCTATAATTTCAAAGATTTTCCAGGTCCAGGAAGGGCTTTTTTAAAAAATAAAGTTTATATAACTGAGATCTTCAACTAAAGGGAAAGGCATATATTCATGGAAGAATTAATCACCTTCCACAGTCATAAAGCTAGTCCCATACTCAAGTCCTCCACCAATTTCCTTAAATGCACTCAGCTTTCCTGATAAATCCAAGGTGCTGCTAAAAGAAGAGGGCCGTAGGAATCATATTGCCAACTGTGTTCCACAAATTGGCCAGGGTTTTAACAATATTGCTGACAGGTGAGGCAGGAAATTCCTCAAGTACATCCATTAGGAAATTTCCTGATCCATCAGGGACTTATATCTGAACTAATTCAGTAGATCCTTCATTCCTGTAGAGATTTATAGCATCTTCTCCTTCTCCAATGTTACTCTACATTGATGTTTCTCCACTGTGGATAGATTGTACATATATGAAGGATAGAGGTGTAAGAGCAGCATATGTCTCCTCATGTATGCCTGTACATACACATGTAATCTCTGAACAGGTAAAGGTTCTCGACCCAACCTTTGAGAATTGTCATAACAATTGCTGCAATAATGTAGCAGGAGTCACAGTTTTCATGGAACATTTGACACCATCATAGGGAAAACAACATTAAGCAGAGACTTAAACAGCAAAAGCCCAAGCTAGGCTTTGACAGAAAAAGAGTAAAGCTTGGAACACTTACCTTGGCCATTTGGACAGCATTAGGAAACTCTGTCAGGCAGGATATGGGAATGAGATCATGCTTGGTAGAGGCTCGAGCTCTGAGCAACAAGAAAAAACAGAATAAATTAAAGAGCAACCAAGCAATCATCCCTGATGGGTTACAGCCATTTTTCTCCCACCACAATCTAATTTGCTGGAGAGAAAGACATACAGTGGCAAATTCTGCTACATGTAAATTAATTGTCACACTAAGGGGATTCAGATGAGTCTTGTGGACATTTCTTATATCGGCAGTAATGAACCTAACCAAACAAGTCACTGAGAAAAGTTTTAAAAACAAACCGGGACAAGGACCAGCAATTGCCGATTTAAAACAAGCTTTAGAAAACCAACAAACGGAAAGAGAACTTACTGAAAAGGCTGACTAGATCTGTGATACATTGAGGGTGGTGGCATCAAAGGGCAATTTTACCTCAGCAACAGATGAAGATTGTCTTGCCCTTCAACCTGTTCATACTTCACAGAAAGAACCAAGTAGCCCAAAGCTGAATCATTGGCATAAAAATTCTGATGCTCCTAAAACAAAGACATCAAAATGATTGTCTTATCTTATGATACTTGAAAATAAGCAAATAAATGAACACGCTCTGTCTCTCCTACAGATGTTGACTAACCCACCTATAATGTAACAAGGGAGCATCAGTTTGCTGTAGAGGTTAAGGCATCAGGCTACAAACTTTGGAGACTGGGAGTTCTAGTCCTGCCTTAGGCACAAGGCTAGCTGGGCCATCTTGGGCCAGTCACACTCTCTCAGCTGTAGGAAGCAGGCAAGGACAAACCACTTGTCAGGAAAACTGCAGAGACTTGTCCAGCAAGTAACCAGGAATCAAGACTGACTTGAAGGCACTCCCTCCTCCCCCGCCCCCCCGCCCCCCCAAATAACAAGAGAGTTGCGGTAATATGCCCAAGTGTTGTGCTATTGTAACATAGGCACTTTCTCAGGGGACAGCATATTATAGGATTTGCCAATATAGTTCTGTCTAGTGGCCATCAATGGTACTTTCAAGGACTTACAGAGTCCTGACATTTTTTACAATAGTTTTGAATTTTCTGTGTTTCCCACTTTTTCAGGACTGGATATCCCTAAGATGGAGTGTGTATTCTGTCAGGAAAGGCTCAAAAGTTTTCTACATACACATTTATTGGGGAAATACTGGGAGAACAAGACTGCTTTGCTACTAGCGATATTTCTAAGACGCTATGTTTTTAAGCACAGGAATGGAAACTTTCAGGTTTCCTGCTTAAATTGATCTAGTTATTTTTTGCTTATTAATCTATGTCATATCATTTTAGTAGTCTTTTTTAGGGTTAGGGTTAGGGTTAAGCTAAGTAACTCATTATGCAAATGCCTTTAATAAACAAATAATTTTATAAATAAAAATAATCAAAGAATTTTGGGTGAAAAAGAAATTACAATTATTAGAACTACTATCAATGATTTATAAAAAAATATTCTAAATTGTATAGTGACAATTCTTTACCAATAGAAGTGACCTTGCTACATTTAAATCAGGACGAGGTTTCTAATCTTATTTCACTTTTTTTGCTTCATGAAATTGTCATAATTAAATTCCTGAAATTGGGGAAATCCTCCAGACTTCATGGTTTTGTTGCTTATAATTCTTCTTTTTTATTATAGGCCCAATAATCAGTATGCGAGATATGAGAATCCAACACTGTTTTATTTTACATGTTTCTTTCCACAGGACATCATCAGGCAGGACAAGGTTTTTGACAGGAACAGCTGCTTATATATACAGTAGGCGGAGCCAGAAAAGTAAGGAGGAGTCAGGGGGGAGGGATGTGGTATACTTCAGATTTTGACTTATATATATACAAGCTTAATTACACAGATGTATATAGTTAGGTATTTTTCTTTGTAACAAAACCCCCTCTAAAAATACCTAACGTTTAAATGAATATATATATTTTTTTACTTTATATATACACATTTAATTTAGAAGACAAATAAGCATGTTGATTATTTGGTAAAGGTTTTGTCAATATATCAGCAACTTGTTCATGAGTATCGCAATAGGTGGCTTTAACGAATCCTATATTAGATAATTGTTTAATGTGTTTATATTTGATATCAATATGACGTGACCTCTGATATACTGCTTCTGATGTTAATATGTCTATAGCAGCTTTATTGTCCTCATATATGGTTATTGGGTAGTTGGGTTCAGTCCAGATTGTTGGTAGCCTTAGAAAGACAGATATATTCAGCTTCCGCCGTGGAGGTGGCGATCAAATTCTGTTTACCAGCATACCAATGAACAGGGCAATCATTTATAAAGAAAACATACCCTGAAGTGCTTTTTCTGCTTTTTGTATCCCCAGCCCAATCTGCGTCAGCATAACATGTCAATATTGGTTTATTAGAGTTAACAGGTTTTAAATATAAGCAAGCATCAGCACTAAATTTAAGGTACCTAAGAATTCTTTTTATTCCATCCCAACGGTAATAATTTGGGTTGCTAATGTGTCTTGATAAGAGATGGACAGCAAGAGTGATGTCCGGTCTGGTCCAATTGGAGATATATAATAATGAACCAATAATAGATCTATATAGGGTGTTATCTTTAAATGGTTCACCTTCGTTGTTCATGTTTTTTGTAAAGTCTGTCTGCATGGGGGTCTCGCAGGTTTTAGAGTCCATCATATTACATCTTTGTAAAAGTTCTAATATTTTTTCTTTTTGAGACAGTTTGAAACCTCCACTTATTTTGTCAATCTGAACACCTAGATATTTATTTACTTTCCCTAAGGTCTTTAAGGTGAAATGTTTGCTTAGTTTTTCTGCGAATTTGTCACATCTGTATTTGTCTTGGCCAAAATATAAAATGTCGTCTACATAAACGAGTATGTATTCTGTAGATTCGTTTGTTTTTCTAATAAAGAAGCACAGATCTGTTGATGTAGCTGAAAAACCTATGTCATTTAGTGTTTTTGCCAAACATTCGTACCAACGCTTTCCAGATTGTTTTAACCTGTATAAACTTTTATTTAACAGCCATATTTTTCCTTTTTGTGCACCATTACCTGGAGGAGCTTTCACATAGATTTTCTTGTCAAGGTTTGCGTGCAGATAAGCTGTTTGAACGTCAAACTGATATACATCCAGATTTAGGATTGATGCTATTATCAGTGCACTCTTGACACTCTCTGACCTAATAGTGGGAGAGTAAGTATCTACATAATCATCTGGAAATTTCTGTGCGTATCCTAGGGCAACTAATCTGGCTTTGTATAATGATTTTCCGTCTTCTAACTCTTTAATTTTAAATACCCATTTCGTTCCAATTGGTGTCTTATCTATTGGTGGTTCTGTGGTGGTGTATACATTCAATTCCCTTAAACTATCCATTTCTTTCTTTATTGCTTGTTCCCATTTTAACCTTTCTTCTTGTGGCAATTCTAATATTTCTTCATATGAGTTAGGTGTTATTTTGTTGCCATTTATGGATAGTATGTAATCTTCAAATCTTTTGGGTATTTTGTTTCTATTGTGTCTAATGGGTCTATTGGGGGGTAACTCAGTATCATGCATGTATTTAGCTTCTTTTTCTGTTAGTCTGTCTACTTGAATGACAGGATGATTCATTTTCCATTCTTTAGTTGTTATTTCATGATGTTTGGGTTTTTCTATTTTTTGTGCATTGGATTTTGTTGTATGTGGTGTGTGTTCTCTGTTTGTGTTGGTTGTGTTCTCTGCTATGGGGCATAAATCATTTAGATGAATTTTGGACCAATTTGCATGTTCATGAAATACAGCTGATCCTGAAATGATGAATTTATTATTTTTGTCTATGAATCGGTATACTTTGGTTCCTGATTCATATCCCATAAATCTTAATCTTTTTGATACTTTCTCACCCTTACGCCTTAATTGTTTTGGGACGTAAACATCTGCAGTAACTCCAAAAATATGCAGGTGACTGATTTTGGGTTTTCTGTTGTACATAACCTTGTATGGAGTTTTACCAATTACACTAGACCATAACCTGTTTAAGGTGTAATTTGAATACGTTAGAGCTTCAGCCCAGAATGTTTGTCCTAAACCAGCATGCTCTAGCACACATCTAACCATGGTTTGCAACAAACCATTTTTCCTCTCTGCGACGCCATTTTGAAAAGCTGAGAAAGGACAAGATTTGAAATGTATGATTCCTTGTGATTTTAACCAATTGGAGAATTCCTTTGACAGAAATTCTGATCCCCTATCTGTCATTATTTGTTTAATTTTTATGTTGTGTTGTGTTTCTATTCTTTTGTGGAATTCTTTGAATTTCTTAAATACTTCACTTTTGTGATTAAGTGTATATACGAATCCAAATCTGCTGAAATCATCCACTATAGTTAAAAAATATCTTTTTCTGTATTTGATTGATGGTTTCATGGGGCCAACTATGTCCATATGTAATAATTGGAATATTGAGTGTGTGGTGCAAGTGGCTTTTTTAGGTCTAGGTTTGTTTTTACTTTTAGAAGATTTGCATACAGAACACTCTAAGTAATTTTTGCAACTCTTTACTTTAGCATCATCAGTACATTCTAACATTTTCTGGATAACTGGGAAACTAGCATGCCCTAGCTTCCTGTGAAGTAGATGGGCACATTCATCGTGAATTGGTTTACCACATGACACCTTCTTATTGGTAGTTTTATCATCTGTATGACTTTCGTTCATGTTATTCTCAAATTTTTCATGTGTGTTAGCTTTATTTTCTTTGTTTTCTAATTCTGTGTTTGTACATGTCGACTTATCATCTTCTGGTAGGAAGTATGTTAATCCTCCTTTGTTAATGGTTTTACCTATGTTCCTTTTGTCTTTGGTTATATGCACTTTCCCACTTTTGAATGTGACTTCTATCTCTTTTTCCTCACTTAGTTTATGTATAGCTAATATATTGTGTAGGATTTCTGGTATAAAAAGTACCCCCTCTATTCTTCCTAAGCCTTTGATGAAAATGGTGCCTATTCCTTTCACTAGAACTTTACTTTGGTTGGCCACTTCTATATAGTAATTCTTTTCTGTGAAGTCGCTAAGGTGTTTTTTTTCATGAGTGGTGTGATTTGTAGCTCCGGAATCGATAAGCCATGCATTATTAGATTCTGTTTTTGATTTTTCGTTGTTTCCTAATCCAAATAGTGAACCGTATTTATTTTCTCTAGAATCATCTCTGTATTTTCTTCTATCTTTAGGATTGGGGGATTCCCTATGTTTATATCTATAATCTGGTGATTTTCTATCTGATAGATTAATTTTCTTACCAGTTCTTTCCCTGTGATATGTGTACTCCATGTCTCTATTATTTTTTGGACAGTCTCTTTTATAATGGTATTTGGAACCGCATGTGTGATACTCTGGTGTATATCTATTTTTACTTTGGAATTCTACTCTCTTTGTGTTTCCATTTTCTCTGTGACTCAAGGATCGCTCTCTCCTTAGTCTATCTTCTGTTATGAGTTTGCTAGTTAGAGTTTCTAAGCTGATGTGCTCTAAACTAAGACTATCTAATAAGATGATATAGTTATCCCAACTTGAATCTAGTGAGTTAATTATTATGCTTTTCATGCTGCTTTCAGAAATGTATTCTCCCCTTTGGATAAGGTCAGCCCTAGTTGCATTTAGATTTATGATGTGCTCACTCATGGTGGTCCCACCTTTTAATTTAGCAGAATAAAATTCCCTAGATATTCTAGTTGTTGATGCAACGCTTTTGCTATGAAATAAATTAAATAATTTTTGGAATATTTCATAAACTGTCAGATGGTTTTTGATACTGGGATATATACTAGGTGATATAGTGGCAATTAAAATATAATAAGCCTTATGGTGTATATAATCTACTTCAATAGTCCAAGGCCTATTGGGAGGATTGGTAATTAGGAACAACATATTTTCTCTTAAGTATATCACCTGGAGCTGTTGGCTCCATTCCAACAAGTTAGTTCCATCTGATTTTAATTTTATGTGTTCTGCTGGTAAAATCCCTGAGTGGTGTGGAAATCTATCTACAATCTGTTGCTGTCCATGGTCTAAGTCATTATTGTACTCACAATATGGCATTGGTATAGTAAGTGTATGTCTATGCTGACTTATCTCTCTGTACTCTCTTTTTTTTTTGTAGATGGAGACTGCGCATGCTCAGATCTTATTTCTGACTCGCGGTTGCTGTAGAACGTTCCCATGCTTGCGGCTTTTGCTTGGAGATCCCAGTCGACTTGCTGGCTTCTTGGTCTCATCTCGGTCGGCTCCAGGTGCTTGGCGTTCATCTGGGAAGTCGTCTGGATCCTCGGGGCATCTCTGTAGTCCTGATGGTCTCTGCAGTCCTCCAGGAAGGCTTGGCGATTCTGCTCCGTTGCTCGGCCGCGAGGCAGGGTCCATCCTGGGTCGCCATCCGTGTACATGGATTGTGTAGATTGTTCTCTTCTTTCTGGTAAGTATGATTCTTTTTTTACATCTTCTTGATAAGTTCTGGTGTTCGTTGGGTGGCGGGTTTCCACTGGGAATAGTCTGAGTTTACTTTCGTAGAATGCGGTTTCTTTTTCTAGGCAGCTTAGATCATTTGCAATTTTATTTGTATAGAATATTGGTTTGATGTGTTTTTCCAGGCTCTTCAGTTGTGGGCTCGGTAGTTTAATTTTCTTTTTAAATGCTGCGGTTAGTAGCTGTACATCATTGTTTATCTTTGGCTCTGGAGGTGATTTAGGTGAATAGCTTTTTATTCGTTCTTTATTACTGTAATTTTTAGGGTTGTGTATTAGATCGTAATCTTTGTTTTCTGTTTTGGGGTTTTGATCTAGAGACTTTATTGTTCGTTAGTCGGCCATTTTTATTGATGTTTCATTCAAAAATGGCCACCATGAAAAAAGCGGGAAAATGTTGCCGGCTTCATCAGCTGTCATATGTTTGCTGCTTGACTCTCCCAGTGTATTTTTTATATCTTGACAGTATTCAGTCTCCTTTTCATCCGTTGCTGCTCTGTAGTCTTTTATGACATTGTGGAGTTTCGCAAACAGTTTAGGATTATTCTGAGCTGTTTCTATTAATTCTATTATTTTCTTTTTATCGTCATCTATTTTTTGGGGGGATGACTGAGGGAGTGTCTTTAGTTTCAGTCTGTGATTTTTTTACTTCTGACAGGATATTTGTGTTAAGTAAATGCCTGTCTTTTATTATATTTTCTGTGGGAGTTAATTGAGCTGCCATTCTTTTATTTAATAATCTCGTTATGGGTCTTCTTTTTACCTCAGTTGGAATAGATGTTTCTTGCATCTTTTTGATAGATCGGTCCTTCTTTAACCATCCTCTTGCTACCAGTTTTGTTGCTTATAATTCTTCTTTTTTATTATAGGCCCAATAATCAGTATGCGAGATATGAGAATCCAACACTGTTTTATTTTACATGTTTCTTTCCACAGGACATCATCAGGCAGGACAAGGTTTTTGACAGGAACAGCTGCTTATATATACAGTAGGCGGAGCCAGAAAAGTAAGGAGGAGTCAGGGGAGAGGGATGTGGTATACTTCAGATTTTGACTTATATATATACAAGCTTAATTACACAGATGTATATAGTTAGGTATTTTTCTTTGTAACAGGTTTTTCAGTGGATTGATACAAAATGTATATCAGCTACAGTATTTATATCTTTTATTTTACTAGACAGGTATTGTAGCTTTTTCAAAAGAAAAATCCCTGGCTTTTAATCAGACAAATATAGATTCCCTCTGGGTTCTAATTAAAGATATATTTCCTTGATAAATATGGGAGTTAAGTTTTTAAAGGCTGCTTTGGCCCACAGATTATAGCTTGTCCTTCTGACTACTGAACAACCAGTTCCGGCTGGATTTGTACATGACCATAAAAATTCTAGCATTATTGACATTTTTTTTAGTTGATATTTATTCTAGCTCTGTTTAAAATAGACAGGACTTATTGTATTTCATAAACAGGTATTCATACTCTAATTAATACATGTACAATATCCTGCTTGATTATTCTATAAATTAGAGGAAGTCAGGCTAGATCTCATTGGATCATAGCAACAATTCTGACAAACAAATGGATTGTTTTATATACCTTTAGACTTTATCTCAATACTGAATGTAATGCAACGGTTACACATTGAAAACATTTGGGTCTAACTGCTATAAACTGCTATTTATCCTGCTAATATATTAGCAGGATAAATATATTACTATGGATACATATTAAGCGTTCAAGATGCTTATGTTCTTCTTGCTTCTAATTATCAGCATACCTTATCATGGCAAGGGATTAGCTAAATGCTGGAACACAAAAAAAAATCTATTCTTGATTTACAGAGTACGTGTTGTCTGTTTGAATTTGAATTCACTTTTTCTAGCATAGTGCAAGACTTTCAAGCAATAGAAACAAAGTTTTGGAACTATTCTGTTGATTGCATAATTTCCCAAGCCTTTTTTTTATTATGAAGTTTATTAATTTTGAGGTTATATTATACTGATAATATTGCTCTCTCTATATCTTTTCTTCTCTAGCAGAGTAGAGTACTATACTATAATGAGTATAGGCGCACTCTAACCACTGCACCGAGGTGGCGTAGTGGTTAGAGTGCAATACTGCAGCTACTTCAGCTGACTGCTAGTTCAGCAGATCAGCGGATCAAATCTCACTGGCTCAAGGTTGACTCAGCCTTCCATCCTTCCGAGGTGGGTAAAATGAGGACCCAGATTGTTAGGAGAAAATATGCTATTTAGTATACTGTCTTTGGTGTAAGCCGCCCAGAATCCTCGGAGAGTGGGCGGCATAGAAATATGACTAATAATAATAAATATGACTAATAATAATAATATAATTAAAAATTGAGTTGACATAGTAAATTGCAAGTTTGAATCTCTAATAAAATTACTTGAAAAGTAACATTTTTAACGTTTTCTTTCTTAACCAACTTGTATCCACAGATTTATACTGCAAATTATTACAAAAAAAACACCTAAAATATAAAGGTTTGGAGTATGTTAAATAATATAAAATTTTACCTTTCCCAGGAAGTGTTTGCGGTACAGCTTTGCTGTTGGATCGCACTCCAATCTCACTTTGCCACTGCAAGGAGATGGCAAGTCTTGAAATTCAGGGCCTGATACGGGAAGGCTGTGAGATGTCCCTTCAATCCAGTAACCCCCAAACTGTGGTAAAATGATTAGAGGGTATGGCCAGCCCCTCTGTAATACCTTTTAAGAAAGAAGATAGGGCAATCTGCACTTGCATTTGAAATTAATCAGATTCCATAGCTATACACATTGGAACACTTGAAATCACCCCTCCTCACTCCACTTCTTCCAGATGCAGTGGTGGGTTGCCCCCGGTTCGGTCTGGTTCACAAGAACTGGTAGTAAAACCAGTGGGAGGCTCCGCCCACTGACCCGGATGTCATCAAAGTAGATCTGTGCATGCACAGAAGTTTCTGCGAATGCGCAGAAGAGCGCGCGGGCGAGCACAATGCAAACTGGTAGTAAAGGTAAGTAGAACCCACTCCTGTCCAGATGAATTGGATTACAACTTTTATCAAGCATATCTCTGCATCCTCCTTCTGCTTCAGAGCTCAAGGAGTTCATCCTCCTGAAATAGCTATGGATTAATCTCAAAAAAGGAACTAGACTTGGAGACCAAAAATCCTATCAAAGAACTCAGATCTCAAATCACCCAAAGTGATCCTTCTTTAGCTGACAAGCCTAAGCCAGACTTAGCTTTGTTCAATTAAAACATATGAACTCAAACCATCACTGACTCACCTCATGGATGCTGGGGTATGGGATGTATTCCTCTTCTCTCTGAAAACGCATAGAGGCAATTAGTAAATACATAAGAGTGTTGGAAAGAAATCTTACCAGGTTTGTTTCCAAGCCGAGAATAAGGAATGCAGGCAGTTGCTTGAACCAGAGGTAAAGTTTATTTCTGAGAGCACAATGTATAGAATCAATTGTCAGAAAAGGCTGAGTTTGAGTCTTTTCTAAGAGCCTTTTATATAAAGGTTCCTTAAAAGCATGCACAAACACACCCTTTAAGAATTCCACCAAAATAGGTGTAGCCAGTCCAAGAGAGAGCGCTTTTGCATTTAGACACCGGGCTGGGGGGCAGTTTCTGTAGCATTTTGTAGAATCACAGGGTTGGAAAAGAATTTGGAGGTCTTCCAGTCTAACCCTCTGACCAAGACAGAAATCCTCATACCATCTCAGACAAATAGTTATCCAATCTTTTCTTGAGAAACTCCAGCAATGGAGCATCCACAACTCTGGGAGGCAAGCTGTTCCACTGCTAAATAGTTCTGTCTGGAAATTCTTCCTTATTTCCAGGTTGGATCTCCTTCTGATGGGTTTCCACCCATTGCTTCTTGTTCTACCCGAAGGTGCTATGAAGAATAAATCAGTGCCCTTTCCCAGTATCCTTCAAGTATTGGAAGATTACTATCATGTCTCCCATCAATCTTTTCTTCATTAAACTAAAAATGCCTAGTTCCTTTAGCTGTTCTTCATAGGATTTAGCTTCTAGACCTCCTTATTGTATTTGTTGCTATTGTCTGCATTCTTTTCAGAGCCTGGGAATTTTTTTTGTTTTTTTATTTTATAGTGATTAGAACTAGATGCAGTATTCCAAATGTGGCCTGAGAATGGTACTATCACTTTCCTTGATACTATCTCTCTGCCAACGCAGCTCAGAATTGTGTTGTTGTTCTTTTTTTAGCAGCGCAGCACACTGCTGACTCATACTTAAGTGGTGATTCACCAAGACACCTAGATCCCTCTCATAGGCACTACTGATGAGGAGGATACTGCCTATACTGCATCTGTGGATCTGGTTTTTCCTACCTAAGTACAGGACCTCACTGAATTGCATCTTGTTGGTAGGGCCCAATGCTCAAGCTATCAAGATCCTTCTGAATCTTGAATCTATCTTCTGAAATATAAGCAATTGTCATCCAAGTGACACGGTGACTCAGTGGCTTAATGATGCTGTAGATGGTCTCTGCTCCAGCAATTCGAGGTGTAGCACTGCATGGCCGGGTGAACTCCCATCACTTGCTTAAGTTTCTGCCCACCTAGCAAGTCAAAAGCATATTTTATGTGAGTAGATAAATAGGTACCACTTCAGTGGGAAGATGAGCTGGTGCTTCGTGAAGGCAGACAGATTCCTGCAAGCTCTGAATCTTCCCAGTTGCAACACCCATTTGTGAGGCGGCTTTGGTGAAGGGAGGGGGGCCTTGGACACTGCAGGAAGAGCTGCTCATCTTTCTGCTGCAAAACTAACTCATCCTTGAGTGGCACACCTTGGGAAGTGCATAAGCATATGCCACAACACAGCTAGTAAATTGGCAGCCAAATTTATTACTCTGAATAGCCAAATACTATTCTGCATTAGTATTTTAATCATCATCATCATCATCATCATCATCATCATCATCATCATCATCATCATCTAAATAGTCAGCAAATTCTACTCTTCCCCATCGCTTAGTCTGATCATGAAACAACTGCTAGAAGAAAAGCAAACTCAGAAAACATTTAAAAAATCAACAATATATCCCTTTTATTGCATCACTATATGATTTCTCTTTTTGTGCAGAGTTTCTGGAACAAAAAAAAATCTGTATTTTTTTCAGCTCCTAAAAATAATGTTTCATTAATGCCAAATTTAAAAATGACCACTTTATCCTACTAACATTCCAACTGTAAACCAGCAAAATGATCACAGCTGGTATGTGAGCTGGTATGCCTCAGACATCAAGTAATAGAACCATAACATTCAGCTGAAAGATATTCTAAATACATTAAGCCACTACTTTAAGGTCTTTCCCCACCTTATCAGAATATGATATGACTTGATATCATTTATTTAGTCTCCAGATCATGAGTAAACAGTTTTAAGTCATCCTTAGTTGAAGCCAGTAGTGTTAAATAGTAAAAGTAGCATTGATGATGTTACCTAATTTGGGGAATGAAACATCTTCAGGAAAACAACCAAACTCAGAAAGCAAAGATATGTTCATAACTTTTTATGGATGGACCTCCATATGTAGGAGTGGCTGGACTTTTTAATTTGCCCAAGAAGAATCCAATTGGATCCAAATGGATTTCAAAAGACCTCCAAAGAGTTTGTGTTTGGTCCCACCAACAATTCTGTCTTTGTGTTGGGTAGGATATGGAATTGGGAACTACTAAGGCAATTGGCACAGCTGCACCTAAATGCTCTTTCCAATATACTTCAGAAATAGAGCTTTTGTGTTTGTGCATGTGTATGTATGTATATATGTATGTATGTATATGTACTGTATGTGTGTCTATGTATACACATGCACACACACAGAAGAACAGGAGCTGCAGTGGCATAGTTGATGATCAAAGTGCAGTGGAAGTTGACTCAACATAAATCTGAGCCATTATAATATTAGTGTGTATTATGTTGAGGCAAAACATGCAGCAAAGCAAGATTGTTTTGCACAAATTGCCTCTGCAGGCTCATGAGCTGATGAATTACTTCAGGTGTGAGAGGGCTGATTTTTACTTCTACCATCTCCTCCTTTAATTAGATCACAGAACCTTCAGTTACTTGCTTTTAATGAGCCTTTTTCTTCCGGAGAGTATCTTTTGCAGCCTGGCCAGTCTTATAGCAAATTCAGTTATGGGAGTATCTGGTAATTCCTTTTAGGCAGAAACGAAATAAGAGTATACCAGAGAAACTGAACACCCTATTGCAAATAGTATACTCCACCCCTAGATTTGTCTTTGCTCAACATTTAACCAAAAGTTAAGATGCATCTCCCTCCCCGCCCCCAAATATTGCTCTATTCCTATGGGTATACTACAGTTAATCCTTAAATTATGATAGTTCAGACCAGGATTGCCATCATAAATCAGTGTGGCTGTAAAGTGAAACATCACATGACTGCACTGATTTATGACAGCAATCTTGTTTACAGATTGCAGTTGTTTACCAAGAATTATAGACCATCAAGCAAGTACTCATCCCAGCCTGGGTTTGATCTTACCCAGCCTAGGTTTGATCTTACCCAGCCCGGAGCCTCCGGTAAAGGACTGCCTCCAACTCCCCCCAACCGCCAATTCCCCCCCGCCCCCCAATCTCTATCCTGCACCATGCCTTGCTGGATGGCAAGCAGCCCCAGAACCACATGGGGCTTAGACTGCTTGCCATATTGGGATACTCCAGCCCATCCCAGCAAGTGCCAGCAAGAATTCATTCACCCAGCTCCTTTGGCTCTGAGTTCCCTGCACTGATCTTTCAGCTTTTGTCTTCAGCCATTGCTTCACTCCTTTTTGGACTCAGCTTCTCTGGTGAATATTTCCTACCTGTGGCTCCCTGAGCCTTCAGAAAGGTGCTCTGCCTTTGTAAAGCTGTGCTGTTTTTCCAAAGACTTTCCGAAGGCAGCACAACTGTATGAACAACCATAATGGGTCATTTTTTCAGCACTGTCTAAACTTTGAATGGATGCTAAATGAATGGCCGTAAATCAAAGATTACTTATATAGTTTTTTGGCAACAATGGTTTGGGTGCCTTTTTCCAGGATGGTTTTTTTTTTAAAAAAAAAACTTCCTGGAATAGTCTATGGTGGGATTTCATGATGGTGTCCTATTTAAATACTAAACAGATCTGTTTGCTGGATGTTGCCAGCTGCTGTGGCAGAAATGCCTCAGTAATAATATTACAAATGCTTCTAGATCAGGCTAAGGCATGAATACTGTGACCCATTCTTTACAATGTTGCCTATGCCTCTAATTCAGAAACTTCCAGTTTGTATGCAACTTTTAGCTCTACATGGTAGAACAGATCAGGAAACTGACTCTACAGGAAATTTAAACACTACACTTTATGCAGATCAGCTGTAGTAACAAAATCTTGCAAGTCTGCCTATGTTTTTCCTCCCCTCCTCCTCCTTCTATTCCAGTAAATGAGGAAAGAATAAGTCTTAGTTTTTTTCTAATACTCTTCTCCCACTTCCAACATTAATACATGCAACACCCATTGTCTTAACAACTTTTCCAAGGTCATCTCCAGGGCTCCCTACAAGAACTCGAGATAAGCTGGTCTTTGAAAGACTTAAAGATGTGAAGACCATTGAAGTGTCTGCCAGTTTATTTCTAGTTAATGAGAGAGGCTGATTACCACTTTTAAAGCCTGTAAGGTGCTTCTTGCAGAGTTCAGGCAATTGACCTGTTTGATAGATTTTGTAAAGGTTATGTTTTAATGGGTAACAGAATCTTGGCTAATGTCAGAAGCTAAACAGGATCAGTCCTGGTTAGTATTTTGATGTACGATAATCTGTAAACTGTATGCTAGACTGGGAAGTCAAAACATGCATTCAAAAAAACCACTTTTATAACACTGCCAAGGAAACTGCATGGATGAAATAATCACAATCCAATTGGATTCAAGAACATTTCTTTTTAATAAAAGGCTTTTAATTAGACAGAGCAGTTTTTTGAATAATTGAATAGTTCTTAAAATTGCATTTTTTGTTTAATTTTGGTTTTATGCTTTACTATAAATCATAGCGAAGAGAGTCAGTTTGTTGTAGTGGTTAAGGCGTCAGGCTAGAAACTGGGAGACTGTGACTTCTAGTCCCACTTTAGGCACAAAGCCAGTTGGGTAACCTTGAGCCAGTCACCTTCTCTCAGGTTGAGGAAAGAGGCAATGGCAAATCAATTCTGAAAAAAACCTTGCCAAGAAGACTTGTCGAGGCAATCTTGAAGAATCAGACATGATTGAATCGAAGAAAAAAAAAATCAGAGGGATATTTTACTGCATGCATAAAGAATCATTCAACTAAAGTAGTGCAATTGCTAGATTGGCACACCATTCCACTTACAATCACAAGAGAACAGGAAATAGGTGCAAAGAGTGACTTTTCCTTTTCATCTTGCCATTCCTGCTCTTCCAGAATTATTAGGAAGTATTCCTGAATTAATGCCCCTTATATGATAGTATAGGTTTATTGTGAACTTTGAAGTTGTATTATTCTAGTCATACTGACTGGGAATTCTTGACCCTGCATGCTCTGTATAATTAGAAAGTGCCAGTTTGGGAAGATTAGTCTGCTTTGGAACACTTCATTTATTTGTTTGTTTTTAATTAATTAATATCCTACCTTTATTATTTTATGAATAATTCAAATTGGTGAATAAATCCAATATTCTTTCCTTCTCCTATATTTCCCACAGCAACCCTGTCAGGTGGGTTGAGCTAAGAGAGTGATTTAGGCATGAAAGCCACCCAGCTCTCATGCCTAAAGTGGGACTGGAACTCACAGACCTTTGGTTTCTAGCCTGGTGCCTTAACTACTAGACCAAAATGGTTTACTTTTCCGAACACTGAAATATATACACAAACAATGGTGCTTTCCCTTGCTCGGTTTTCTGCCTTCCCCTTAGGGTCAAGAATTTCCAGCTAGCATGTCTAATATTAATTTTCCTCTATTGTTTTAATAATTTCTATTTCTTTTATTTCTCTTCTTCCCTCACCTGGACTTATGGCTCTTTCCCTACTCCAATTTGCCTCTAATCAGCACTCACAGTGATGCCCACAGATCTTGGACTTCCTCTGACAGCACCACTAAATTTTAGTGATACAATTTTGAAAAGCCATGGTGTAAGTTCTCTGACATTTTGGGATGGGAAATTCAGTAAAACATAATGCAAGCCATAGATAAGATTTGAGTTAAGGAAGAAAATCAGACAGAGGAAACCCAAATTGGGCACAGGCCCAAATATGTGAATCTGTCCCCAAACTATACCACCTATTGTGACTTCTGCCCTCCCCAAAACTGCTAAGCCTTGCTCCCATTCCTCTAAGGGTGTCCATTCCCTGCACCAGCAATTCTAACTCCACAGTTGTACAGAAACAGAAGGCTGCTATTCATTCCATGATGGAGAAAGAAAGGATTCCACTCAGTTGGGAGTGAAGCCTATCTCAAGTCCTTAGGAACAGCCCACCCTCCCCAAAATCTTATTTGCAAAGCCTCCTGCTGGATTGTTTATTGACTGAAATTCTGCTGAAATACTAGAGTGCAACCTGTCCCATCATAGAATAATGTGCAGACCTTTGATGGGGTTTATCCTTCCTAATTCAAAAAATGCAATGAGCAATGGAAACTGACCTTCAGTGTAGCTGGAAGTGAACATCTTTGCTCATCCAAACGACTTCTCTAGACAGACAGATAGAGAATCAAGGAAGGCCGGAAGAGAGGGAGGAAAGAAGAAATCCATCAATCTCTGGTTTATTTTTCCCTCTGCCTCAGAGAGGGAAGGCTGTTGAAAGTTCATTTGGCTGTTGAATAACATGGTGGGGACAATACTCTAAAAATTCTGGGGCAAGGATAACAACTAAACACAATTTAATTTACATATAATAATATTAAACACATTTAATATAATTGTTTTCCACATATTTAATACCTCTTCCATTCTATCATATTAAATATTAAGGTTTAGTGGCAATTTTTTGAGAAGCTGTAGCTGACAAAGGCAAACCACTGCTCTTTTCAGGATTAAGAGCCTCATTATGAAACCATTTCACATTTCAGGAGCAAAGAGTAAGATTCTCAAAGTTCATTATAGGCAACATATTTAGATAATGTGCTTTTGTTATGCTACTATGCTTAATCATTCACTCTAGAATAATCATCTCTTTTCAAAATAGAAGACTTTTGTCATACATACATACATACAAGTATTTCCTTATAGGTAACAGTCAGGTTACAGAACAAATATGATTTTCAAAAATACTAAGACATTTGAGAAAAATATTATTGGCCTAAAATCCTGGGAAGAAGAGATAGAAGGGATCAGCTCTGATAAAGCAGGAATGCTTTTTTTTAACTAAAAAAACTATTTGTATATGGTTTCTTGCTCACCTAGGTGAAAGAATCAATCAATCCATCCATGATTCTTGACGAATGTATCTTTTCTTTTATGTACACCGAGAGCATATGCACCAAGACAAATTCCTTGTGTGTCCAATCACACTTGGCCAATAAAGAATCCTATCCTATCCTATCCCCAAACCTAATCACTACTGCCTGTAATGCAACTGTCCAAATGTTATTTTTCCCCTCACTGGCTGCTTCAGTTTAAACCATCTAGGCGCTCATAAGAGTAGTAATTCAGTGAAACTAACTGGCCCCATCCACTTTCTTCTGAGAGCTTCAAATGGAAAAACAAATTTCATTCAACAAATTACCAAAAGCTTACTCTAGGTAACACATCTACAGTGTGTTAGGCTCAGACTGTATGTTATACAATTTGCCCTGGAAATCAAGTTGGTTTGTTTATAATTCATTCCACGAATCTCAATTGAGTTTATTAGTAGAGTGATTTCAGTTTAAATTCCAGTATACAAGAAAGTGTGAACACAGATGTGCAAGAGAAGTGACCCAAAAAGCATTTTCACCCAATACATTTCTATTCCTTCATGTAGGTATTCCTGCGGTCAGATAATTACCAGGCCCAAATGAAAACAGAGATGTAGACCACAGGCAGAGGAAGAGAACTGAGGTATCACTAAGGGAAAGCCTAGCTCTTGGAGCTACATGACTTCCAAAAGTACAGCAGAAAGAAAGCATCCATTTCTAACTAACAGACACAGCAGAGAGGTAAAAACATTTTCATAAATTACAAGGAGAATCTCACAGGAGCCAGATGAACCAATAGAAAGATCACAGCAGGAACAGGCAGGGTGTGGAATAGAAGGGCATCAAAGTAAGATGAGTCACCAGAAGCCAGCTGTGTGGAGAGGGTTAACAGCTTACACAGCTATAGACAGGGCAGAGGCCTTTGAGGTAATTATTGCATTCGGGTTGTGGTAATGTTCAGGTGGCAAGACAATTCCATAGCAGAAGCAGCTTGTTATCAGAGGTTCAAAATTTGATCATGAAACAAGAAAAACATACCTGCATTTTTTCAATCATTTCAAATAAGTCGACTACCTGTATGGAATCACATAAAATAAGAAATCAATTTGCAGACCCCAAACTTTAGATCATTATTACTGTTTCATTAGATTGTGTCTTCAATACTGCACAGTTTTTTTTATGAAAACACAAAGTTCAGAGTGCTTCCTGATAGTTGTTGTCTCAGAAGAGAAAAAACATATTGTATAAGCTCTAATTATCTGGAAACCAGGCCATTTTGAAAAAGTGCCATGTCTTATACCTTTTAGTGAGCTGCTCATTACTACTGTATTCCTTACTCAGATATTCCTTTTTGTCTGAAAAGAACCAAATATTTTGCCATTTAAAAAACAACCTTTAAATTTTAAACCTTAAAAAAACATAATTGGAAGAGACCCTGGAAAGTCCAAGTACCTACTAAAAGCAGGACAACACTATAGCACTCCTAAAATATTTTATCTATCAATCATCTCTCTCTCTTTTTCTATCTCTTCTCTCTCTCCCTCTCATCTAATTTAGATACCATCCATCTCACTCTGAGTGACTCCAGGATCAGGTAGTGAACATAAGGTTGCCCAGCTCTGCTTAAACACTTTAAGGCAGTGGTCCCCAACCCCCGGTCCGCGGACCGGTGCCGGGCCGTGGAGTACCTGGCACCGGGCCGCGCAGCGGCCGGGGGACATGAACGCTGCAGCGCAAAGGCTCCTGGGCCGTGCGCAAAAGCTCCTGGGCCGTGCGCAATGGGCCGTGCGCAAAAGCTCCTGGGCCGTGCCCCCACCCCTGCGCGCGCTCAGCGGGCCGCGGCGATAAAAAGGTTGGGGACCACTGCTTTAAGGGGCATCAACTAGTCTGTTACCATTAAAAGTTCTTCTAAATTTTAGCCAAAAATTAACCTCTGGTTGAATCCATATCTTTCTCACTGAGACAAAATAAATTAATCTACCGCATATTCAACATGAAAACTTTCAAACTATCAAATACAACTGACATATCTCTCGTCAATATTTTTCCTGGCTCCCATCTCTTAAATGATTGTTCCTAAATTGAAGACTACACATAATATTTTCATGAGAGAAAGCTGAATGGAACCTTCTCCTTTGTTCATTAAACACCTAGATGATAGTTTTTCATAGACAAAACATAGGAACTATTACTATTACTACTGACTTAGCAGTATATATGCCACTGCAAGGAAGGAAAGAGGAAGAACTGTAAACAGTAAGGTAAAAAAAAATGCAGAAAAGAATTATATTATTAACAGCATCAAATTGAGATACAAAAGACAGGTTTGTTACATGAACACCTCAACTTGACCTAAAGAGAAGAGAGCTTATGTGGAAAAACAGCATGCTCCAAATCTTCCCCAAATCCCTAAGTATACCAGTTCCATTTCCAATCTTTCATACTTGGGTGCCAAGAACTGATGTTCTAAGCATATACAGCTGAAAAAAGCTCAGAATCGTCCAGCTATGCTAACCCAGTTCCTCTCCCTGAGGAGGCTGATGCTAATGGCATTCAGTTTAGAAGATCCTCAGTCAGCCAGAAAACTGGGTGACCTTAGACTAGCTTCTCTCTCAAGATAAATTATGTCCCTAAGGGTTACGAGGATTATCTGAAGCTCCTAAAGCAAAGACAAGACGTAACTGATTGAGTTAAGCACATCTGCATTATTAGAGGCAGGCAGAAAGCAAAGGCACTCCTTACCTTATTCTGAACACCTAGATTAAGGGCAGCCTGAGGATCCTGGATAGGTGAGTCTAAGATGTCACTGATGCAGTGTTCTGCTTCATCAGATCTCCTGTATGAAAAGGAGACCATGCCAGTTAGCATAATAAAAACAAACAACAGCTGCAGAACTGTCACTTTTTCCAGATGCTGATACTCTTTTTCATAAGCTTAGGAACTGGCCTGATTATAGTTCAGACAATGCCCAGACTGTATTTTCATAAAATCCATTCAGAGAAATATACATAATTCTTTTCAAGGAAAGATTGTAACTATTAATGGGCAGGAAGAGAAGGTTTTTTAAATGATATCTAGCCAAAGCATAGCACTAAAATAAAGAAACCCTAGGTAAATTCCCCTAGTCATCACAGGCATACATTTATTAATGCGTCTCACACAAGCATTCAACACTGAATATGGTTTCAGAGACAAAAGCCATTCACAATTAAACCTCAGTCAGTGAGTAGTCAAACATGTTTTAAAACCAAGAACAGAGCTTGTGCAGGCTATACATGCAATCACAAATCATCCTTGCCAATTCATTGTTGCATCCCTCCTTGCATTCTGGTTTATTTATTATTTATTAGACACAAATCACCTTACATTCAGGAGCTTAAGCAGCTGTATATGCTAGCTCTTCCCATTTCCTCTACACAGCAACAACCCAGTGAGATTAGTTAGGCTGAGAGAGAATTACTGCCCCCACCCCCAACCCAAGCCACCCAGGAAGCTTCTATGGTCAAGGATGGAGCTGGACTTAAGTCTCCCTAATGCCAGCGTTACCCCTTAAGCACTATCTTTCCCTCCTGTTATTGGAGTGATGTAAAGGTGTCCCTGCATCTTTAACCCCACCAGTTGTGACCAATTTAAGGGAGCTATGCTCATCTCCATTTCTTAACCCAGAAATCTGGAGCCTTTCTTAAACCAGTGACGTCTGGAGATGTTTCCACGGTCTTGTGGCCAGCATGTCATCACCCCTGACTGAGACCTTTTATATATTATCCTGTCTGCCACTTCAGCTTTCTATTACAGCTGCATTTTTCTCTTTCATGCAAAGCAATTTTTGGGAGACTTTAATAGTGCCACTGAATGAGAAATTGTTGAACTCACATATATCAAAAAGTTTCAGCCAATCTCAGAAGATCTCAACAAGCACAAGGGGCTTTAATATGCTACAATAATCAACTGATAAGAAATCTGTTGCACATGTAACCTGTGTCTGCATAACCCTCCTTCTTCCCCCCACCTGATCCCCATTTAAATCCTACATCAGTCTAGCCACTCTATGCATCTGATGAAGTGAGCTGCAACTCGTGAATGCCGATGCCTTTTAATAAAATGTGCCAGAAAAGGTGCTGCCAGACTCCTGATTTTTCACATTCCATTTCAGATGCTCAGGACTCTGACTTGCTGCAGTGACAATTACTTCTCCATCTCTTCTTCCACACAAGTATTTGCATGGATGGGATGTACAAGAAAGTATAATTAGAAAGAGAAATCCTGAAGAATCATATCGGGGCCATTCATAAATAACAGAGGAGAATGCTATGAATAAAAAATAGTATCCACCTGGAATGATGCCCCAAAAGATGCGTGATGTGGAAGTTCTGCAAATAATAATTTGACCTGATTTAACGTTTTACCACAAAAAATCCTAGTCTGATATAGAAAGGCTTCCTATTCAGTATATATGAAATATGTGTTTTCTATGCATACAAAAACACAATGCAACAGTATAGAAGTTCTTCTAATACCTGACAGAGTAGAACAAAAGACCATCTACTCCAATGTTCTGTACCCCAGCAGCTGACACGTACATCCACAAAGTTCAGAATTAGGACATAATAGCAATAGCCTTCTTTCTTTGATTTATGTGTTGATTTATCTTGCTATCCTTAGCAACAGCGCTCTATGTTTGGTCTCCAACAGCTGGTATTTTAAGATAGGCTGTTTTAGATTCTAAACTAATTTACCAGATTAGTAGCCAATGAATGTCCTATCCTCCATGAAGTGGTCTTCTTTTACAACCATCTAAGATGGTAGCCCTCCTCATTACATCTTCCCTATTTTGCTTCTGTATAATCATTTATTTCCTTGGAAGAGTCCTGACTCTCCTTGCACAGGGCTCCTTGCACAAGGAAAAAGGGAGGGAGAAAAATACATTTCTCCCACATTTTCCATCAATGCTGAACATTACTTTATATGCTTCTGCTGGATCTTTTTTTATCTGCCCTCATTCTAAATTAAAAGGCCCAAATGCTTTAATGTATGTTTTGGAAGGCAGGTAACAAAATTTCCATAGTTTTTTTTTCTCTTAATGCCTGCCTACCTTTTCTTGGTACAGGTAGTCCTCAACGTATAACCACAATTGAGCCCAACATTTTTGTTAAGTGAATTTTGCCCCATTTTATGACCTTTCTTGCCTCAGCTGTTAAGTGAATCACTGCAGTTGATAAATTAGTAACCTGGTTGTTAAATTAATCTGGTTTCCCCATTGGTTGCAGAAGTTCACAAAAGGTGATCACATGATCTTGGGACACAATGGTCATAAATATGAATCAGTTGCCAAACATCTGAATTTTGATCAAATGATCATAGGGATGCTGAAAAGGTGATCATAGGGATGCGGTGAAGACCTGGCTTTTCCAGCAGGTCTGGGGCCGTTGATCTAGCTCTTGTGATCCGGCAAGATCCGGTTATGAATGGTGTGAATGAGTTTTAATGTTTTTAATGTTTTTAATTCTTAAATGTTTTTTATAATGATTTTAAATGCATTGTGAGCCTCCCTGAGTCTTCGGAGAGGGGCGGCATACAAATTGAATTAATAAATAATAATAAATAATAAACTGTGAAAAACAGTCATAAGTCATTTTTTCAGTGCCGTTGTAACTTTGAACGATAACTAAACAAACTGTTGTAAGTTGAGGACTACCTGTACTTTGCAGATATCTGTCTTAACAGGACACAGCAGCTGAATTATTTACAGATGACAAGCTCCCTCTACCCTATAAGGCACAAGATAGCAACCAGCAAGCTACTTCTCCTCTCCAAAGTGACAGGCATTACTTGTAGCGGGTGGAATATGCTTGAATGTTAAGGATCATTTATCAAAGCAATAAAAAGACTCATCCAGTACTATAATAAGAATTGCTTTGTGTATGAGCCATTTGCATAGAGAAGGTCAGGATACATGTTTCGCTGCTCCAGATGCATTTCGGTCTGGATTACCTCCAGTTGCAGCCTGCTATAGACACTGTCTGGGATTCAATGACTAAGCTGTCGTTTAGTTATGCAGAGAGTTTACCTGCATTAATAGCAGTATTATATAAAGAGTATTATTATGCAGTATTATGTAAATTTTCTATAATTAGCAGTATTATGTAAATTCTCTATTATTAGTAATGTAGTATTATGTAAATTCTCAGATTCTGCTACGCACTTCGGCCTAACTATAAACCTGAATAAGATTGAAATACTTGACCAGGCTGTGCCAAATACCAAAGCCATAAAACCAAAAATCATTGTTGATGCCACCCAGTTGACAAATGCAAACAGCTTCAAATACTTGGGAAGCATCATCTTAAGTAGTGGCTCTTTGAACAAAGAAATTGACTCCAGGACCAGCAAGACTAGCCAAGCGCTGGGGCAGCTGCATACTTGAGTGCTCAATTACACAATGTTCGTACCTTCACAAACCTGAAAGTCTACGGAGTTGTGGTTATCCCTTCTCTCCTATATGGATGTGAATTCTGTATCAATGACACATCAAACAACTGGATAAATTTCACATAGGTGCTCCCAGCTGCATCCTTGACATTTGATGGCAAGACCTTGTCTCAACCTAGAGGTTCTGGGTCACACAAAGTCCACCAGCATTAAACCCCTTATTATTAGAGCCAAGATGTGGTGGATGGGACATGTCATCCAATGAATGACCATTGTATATCTCTCCAACTGTTGTATAATGTACTGGAGGCTGGAAAGAGACCTTGAGTTCATTCACACAGGCTTTTACAAAGATGTTGTGAAGGAAACTAACACCACTGTGACATTCAGCTAAGGGAACCAGACCCTGTTGGTCAGCTTTATGCTATGAAGCCTCCTTTTCTCAGCTTTGAAGAAAGGTGCTGATAAAAACTGATAGAAAACTGTGAACTGCATCACAGAACATCGTCCACAGTTCCTGCAACAATGGGCTTTCAGTGCCCCTATTGTGTTACACTCTGCATTCCAGACTGGGAATGCAAAGCCCGGTTCGGAGGAGGAAGAGTTGGAATTGGGACTGTCCGATGGGGATGGCATGCCTCCCTTGGCATGTTTGGAGAGGCCAGAGGCTGAGAACAATGCTGTCCGAGGCCCCTCAGAAATTGGGAGAGGTGGTTGACTGGATGGAGAGCTGCCTGCCTAATAGACACAGAGGATGGGCTGCTATTAGGCAGTGGGGCTGATAGGCAGCAGATCCCCTCTGATGAGGAACAGCTGCCTCCCCCACTCGATCCAAGGGCATGGAGAGCTGAGAGTAGACAAACTCAGAGAAGGGCTGCAAGGCTCCTCAAAAGAAGGTCACCCCGCCCCCTCCCCACAAGGAACACCTGGAGTGGATTGACTTAAGGAGAAGCCATGGGGAGTTAGTCTTTGCCAGGAACAATTGTTTGTTTTGTCTTACACTTCCCCTCATGCCTTTTGCCTTTTGCTTTGCCTAGCCTTGAGGATTGCCTTTTATCTTGTAACTTGCCCTTGCCTTGAGGAGTGCTTTTTGCCTTTTTGTGAGAATTGCTTTTTGCTTTGTACCTTGTCTTTGCCCTGAGGACTGCCTTTTGTCGTGTGCCTTGACTTTGCCTTGAGAACTACAGTTTACCTTGTGGACTCGCTTAGCCAGGTGGACTGGACTTGGGACCCTGGAGCTTACCCTGTGAGTGTGCTCCTACTCTATGGACTTTGTTACATACGGGGTGTTGTTGGGGGACTGAGGGTGGCTGCCTTCAGGATAGTGTAGGGTGGAGCCTTAGCAGTGGTTGGAGGGCCATTTGTTGGAACACTTACTGAAAGCAATAAAGGACTCCCTAGAAGCTTGCCTTGCCTTGACCACTTGGGTCATAACAGTATCCACAGATGAACTACACAACAACATCTCTTCTTTGAATCTGAAGGACTACCTATATGTAAAGAGGAAGCAGCTCTGCCTTCACATCAGTTTCTCACAGATAATCATGTAAAAGGGCAAGGCAGACTTTGCACAGCAAGGAACAATTACTGCTTCCAATAAACCCACTTTTAGGCTTTCCTAGAAGAGCCTGATCCACAGTGTGCTTCTAGAACAAATGTGCATTAGAAGAAAAAATTACCTCATCATGGCTCATTCACATAACTAAACCATTTGTGTCCAATGCAAATTAAAGTGTTCACTGTAAGCTTTGTAATGTAGATTTAAAGCAGCTAGAAAATCAAATAAGAACAGCTGAGTTACCTGAAGTCGCCTATTGCAAATCTAATTCTGAAACATCTCAACAATTACCAGAATAATCTACTTCAAACTAAAAATGTTAGTTTCCTGAGGACAAGAAATAATGGGAACTAAATATGGATTGATCAAAAAGAAAGGATAGGTTCAACAGCCAGAGGCCAATAATAAAACTCTTGTTGAGTGGCCACTAAAATGTATTAGCTTTTAAAACCTTCCAACAGTGGGATATTTGATTGGTACCACAGAATAATGGCTATCTGGCAAGTTTCAATAGCAATAAAAAAAAGGAGAACATTTGCAGGAGAAGGCAGCTTGGTGTCCTCCAGTGGTTTTGGCATTCAGTTTCCATCAACTACATTCAGACAGTGACCAGGGACTATTTATAATCCAAAACCTCTGGAAGACACAAAGTTCAGACCCTGAATATTTCTATAGCATATTTGACTGCTCAAAGTGATCATAATAATGCATTATCCTCTTTCTGCAGGGAGCTCCAAAGTCCAGACACAATCATGCAGGAATGACTGAGATTTTAATAAAACAGGAATATTTGGGAGAAGTTATCCATGTGCATAAGTGCACCAGCGTGCCTACCGTCCCAGTCCTAATATTCCTTTTTACTCTTTTCATGTATTCAAATTGTTTATATTTTTACCTGTTATCTTACATATGCTTGACAAATAAATAAATAAATAAAAATAAATATTTTACTCAAGTAGTATTCCCAGGATTCTGTACGAATACCTTCATATATTCATTATATTTCCAAACAGTTTCTAGCAGAATAATGAATAATAAAGTTGAAAGGATCCTTGGAGATCTTCTAGTCCAACTTTCTGCTCAAGCAGGAGATACTATACTATATCAGCCAAATGACTATCCAATCTCTTTTTTAAAACCTCCAGTGATGGAGCACCCACAACTTCTGAAGGCAAGCAGTTCCACTGGTTTTTCCTTAGTTCTAGGTTGGATCTCTCCTTGACGAGTTTCCATTTGTTGCTTCTTGTTCTGCCTTCAGAATAGGTTGACTCCATCTTCTGTGTGGCAGAAGACTGGAAGACTGCTACCATGTCACTCCTAATCCTTCTCTTCATTAGACTAGACATGCCCATTACCTGCAACTGTACTTCATATGTTGTAGCCTCCAGTCCACTCAGCATTAGAAGTCAAAATAAATTGGGCAGCCCTTCCATTTTCCACAAATCTTCTCTAGTAAGAAAATGAAAGGAAATAATGGGGCTAGAGCCTTCCCTTATAATAATCCAAAGTAAAGAGAAGAGTTCAATATTAAGAGGACTTGCCAAAAGGTATCTTTTGGATTTGTGGCTAAAGCAAGATTTCAAATGATGTCAGCCATCGCACTCTTGACTTTTAAGAATAAAAAAGTGAGTGCAAGAGAGGACTGTCATTCCCTCATATTTGGGGGAATGACGGTCTTCTGCAAGGGGATTTTTGTATTTTTGGGCACTTCTTCCCAATTCAGAATGTAGATTTCTAAGTTGTTCAGAGAGGCTACAGGAACAAAGAAGCCTTCTATACATAGACAGTGCACCAATTGCAGAGGGATGGCAGAAGTAGAATACTGTACTTCCACTACCCACCTTGCATACTTATTGATGTTCCCCTCCAAGGAGTGGCGGGGCAAAACAAGTGATAAAATATTTTTATTCTACTGACTTGTGGTAGACTGTGCGGGCAGAAATGACTCCTAATTGCTCTTAGCCTGCAGTGCTTTGCCAACAAAAGCAAAACTCCCATCTTCTCTAGGCTAATTGACACGAGGTGCTTTAATTTACAGTTTATAAAAATAAGTATCCTATTAATATTAATATTAAATAACTGAAAACACATTTGGTTACCTTCTCTGGGTTAATTTATATTGATACGCTGGGCTTCTAAGTATACCATTAGGTCTTTATAATAATGTAAATGGAATGAAATCCTTCGCTTTAGCCCTCCATCTCCAGTCTGATGACTACAAAGTTCTTCTGTATCTACACATTTTAAAGGTAATGCCTTATGAACAATCAAATTTAGCCATTTCTACATTTCCAGAACTATGTAGGCCAACTCTCCATAATATGGTTCCCTCCAGACTTACTGGGATAGCAACTCCAAAAACTCCAAGCAACATAGCTAGCAATTTTGGAAGCTTCATTTCCAACATCTCTGGAGAGGACCATGTTGGGGAAGGGAGAAAGAGAACCTGAGGTAAAAGCATCCTGAAATAATGAAGCATACTCCTCTTCCTCACCAAGGTATACAAAGCCATACTTCTCTTACAAGTGGCTCCAGATTCTCAGATGTGCTAAAAGCACATGGCAGCCTTTATTTCCCTGGAATAAACATGGAGAGAGATAACATAACTTGAAGGAATGTAGAGTAAAGCCAAGGTTGATGTAGATACATACCCTCCATAGGTCCCAAAGGTCAAACTACGCTTCCAAGAAAACATGCTCTCTTCTTGCAGGCTCTTCTGTGCCTGTTGAGGCTTTGTTGGTCTCCTGCATGTAGGCTTTGTTCTTTCTGTGCAGTATGCACTGGCCAGCCTGTCTCCAGAGGACACAACTGCTATCCCCAAATCACTTCCTCCCTGGAAGTTAAATGGCTACTGCCTTTCTTTCCTGAGACACACTTCAAATGAGAAAAAGAAGAGCCTATTCTGCGCAAGAGCAGGAAACTCCTGGGGAGACACTGCAGGTTACCAGGAATGTGATCGAGTGAGCGAGCAACCACAGAGAAAACGAGAGAGGAGGGGCTTCATGTAAAAGAAAATAATAGGAGAACTGAATGAAATAAAGATAAAGGAAGAAAGTGAAAATACATTTTAAAGCATAGCATATCCTCTATAGAAGTACTGTAATCTGGATCCCTACCATATTTATTATTTTATGGTTTACATGCCACAAAAATACACAGATTTCTGGTATATCATATAAAATAGATCCTTAGATGCTACAGGGATAACATTTGCAAGGAAGCAAAGGTAGAAATAAAGGAAGAAATGTAATAGTGTAATATGTATTCAATCTTTATTGAAGAAGGACAAAATGATCCTCGTTCTGAGAACGTATGTGGAATTTTTAAGGAATAGCCCACATGTTTCAATGGTGCTAACAATGCAGAGATACAATATAATTCCATTTAGCTGTCTCAGGTCACATCCTGGTCAATAATCTTTAATAGATTATTTTTCTCCTAAATAAATTAAAAGAATAAAATAAATATAAATTATTTTTCTTCTGACCCATCCCTACATCAGGTATAACTAGGTCTTCAAATCTATTTTTCCTACCTTGAACCACTAAAATAAGAGAAGATCTTTATATAAAATTCTCCTTATGCAGGATGAGAATCTACTCATATCGTAGAAGTTCTGTAAGTAGAGATCTTTGCTAAAACAATTCTGTGTTATTAATATTGCCTGCTTCTGTCTTCAAGAATATTAAGATAGATGGGATTAGGGTTCTAAAGCAGACTTCTTGCTAATATTTTGTTCATATTAATATTTTGAATCTTGTTCTCCTATATCAGGAATTAAACCACTTCACTAGATAAAAATATATAAAAAGGACTAATACAAAATAGATGTCAGAAGCAGAAAAAGCAGAAATTCTATTCTTAGTTACTTCATGCAGTAATAAATCTCAAGCAGAATTACCCATAACTTATTTATTATACCAATTTTTTTTGCATGAAAGCTCAGGGTAAAATACATGAAAGTATCATCTTTACTTTATCCTCACAACAGTAATTTTTGTTAATAGGCTGGACAGAGGGATAGAGTTGGTTATATATCATGTAATAAGCCTTAATGAGTTTTTTTTTTTTAATTCTGACTTATTGTGTTATGTAGATTTGCCAGTTCAAGAACTTTGGGCCCTAAATGTATTTAGGACTCTAAAGATAAATGGAACTAAACCATGAAATTGTATGTAGGTCTTTGGTTTTTCGGGTTTTCTCCTGCGTAAAATTGGAAGTGTCTTGGCGATGAAGACTTTGTCAAATGTCGCCAAGACACTTCCAATTTTACGTGGGAGAAAACCTGAAAAACCAAAGACCTACATATATATATATATATAATATATATATATATATATATATATATATATATATATATATATATATATATATTTTATGTAAGTTTTCACGGGTATATAAGTGTGTATAGTTAATATCTCGGGTTTCTTCCCGTATAATTGTAAACATATCCTTAAAAGGGTAGTAGCGACGTTTCGACGAAATCACATTCATCATCTTCTGGCTGATGTTCTCAGTTTGGTGTTTATGGGCAAACTGTGTGATCGAAACTGACATTTTTCTATGAAAAGAGGCAAAGGTGTATTCTGATTGGTCGACAGTGTTGTTGTATTCTGATTGGCTGATGACGTAGCTGTATTTTGATTGGGTGAAGCGCTGTTGTTTGGTTGTGGGTTAATGGATAAATTATGCTGGAAATGGTGGCAACACAGGCATTATGATGAATCTTTGATCTATGGTTTATATTTTGTGTTAAGATTCGTCTATGAGAGCAGGTTTCCAAATAGTAGGCAGACGGGAAGTGTCATCACGTTTATTCATACAATATGGTCTTTTCTCTATTTCAATGGCCTCTCTGATTATTCTGCCATTGAGATGTTCTATTTTTGCAACTGTTTTTGTGTTATTAAAATTAATATTATGTCCTGTGGCATTTATGTGTTGTACTAATGATGATGTGTGTTCTTTCTTTTGTACTGAATTTTTATGTTCCTCGATGCGCACACTCATTCTTCTGTTGGTCTGTCCAATATAATATATGTTGAGGGGCAGGAAGCACACGGGATTTTGTATATGCTTTGATTTTCTAATTCTATTTTGTCTTTAGAGTTGCTCAGAATAGACGATATCTTTCTATCTGTGCAAAATATGGTTTTGATGTTGTGTCTATGTAGTATTTTGCTAATTTTATCCGTTGTTCCTTTTATATAGGGCAAGATGGCTTTCCCATTGTTTTGTTCCTCTTGTTGATTTCTGTCTGGGTGTTACATGCTGAATCATACTGATGATTTTATTTCTACAGAACCCATTTGATGTCAGTACGTTAGTTAATGTATATAATTCTGTTTACACCCCCACTGGCAGTTAAAAGGAAGAAACAGCTGCGATCACACACATTGCTCCTAGAAGCACGAAGCCGAAAACACCAGCCTTAAGATGACGAATGAGACTTCGTCGAAACGTTGCCAAGACACCTCCAATTTTACACGGGAGAAAACCCAAATAACCAAAGACCTACATACAAACACCCGCGAAAACCTCAGAAAACACACACACACACACACACACACACATATATGTTTATGTAAGTTTTCACGGGTATATATTTGCCCATAAGCACCAAACCGAGAACTTCAGCCAGAAGATGATGAATGCGATTTCATCGAAACGTCGCTACTACCCTTTTAAGGATATGTTTACTTTTTTTTTTTAATATATAATTTTTATTAATATATTCTATACACCAATACACAAATAAAATATACAATCCTGCCACCATGGTATAATATGATTACATTGTCCATAAGTATAAAGTCATTCCTTTATACATACATATTTGCCATCATATATATACATCATCATATATCTATTCTATCCCACCTTTTCTGAACCCAATCGTACCATACTTTCCAACTGTTATAAAATTCTGAATCTTTTTTACCATTGATCAATCTAGTTAATCTATCTGATTCCGCACACTCATTAATTTTATATATTAATATAATTAATATATTATATATTATATATCCTCAGCCTTGCAAGGGCAGGCTGAGGATTTTGCACAGTATCTGCACGATAAAATCGCTCAGATTCGGGAAGGCTTGGACTCTGACTGGGTAGATCCCGGCGGGGTGACTGAGGCTGGTCTTGAGAATGTTACCTGGGATGAGTTCGACCCTGTGACTCCTGAGGACGTGGACAGGATCCTGGGGAGATTAAACGCAACCACATATTTATTGGACCCGTGCCCCTCCTGGCTGGTACTGGCCACCCGGGAGGTAACACGAGGCTGGCTCCAGAGGATCATAAATGCTTCTCTGAGAGAGGGTTTCTTGCCTCCCGCCTTGAAAGAGGCGGTGGTGAGGCCCCTCCTCAAGAAGCCTTCTCTGGACCCGGCCGTTTTGGCAAACTATCGTCCGGTCTCCAACCTTCGCTTTGTTGCGAAGGTTGTGGAGAGTGTGGTTGCGCGACAGCTCCCACAGTTCCTGGATGAAACCGTCTATCTAGATCCGTGCCAGTCCGGCTTCAGGCCTGGGTACAGCACGGAGACGGCATTGGTCGCATTGGTGGATGATCTCTGGAGGGCTCGGGACAGGGGTTGTTCCTCTGTTCTGGTCCTGTTAGACCTCTCAGCGGCTTTTGATACCATCGACCATGGTATCATGCTGCGCCGGCTGGAGGGACTGGGGGTGGGAGGCACCGTGTTGCGGTGGTTCTCCTCCTATCTCTCTGACCGGTCGCAGTCTGTGTTGGCAGGGGGGCAGAGGTCGACCTCGAGGCGCCTTGCTTGCGCGGTGCCGCAAGGGTCGGTCCTCTCGCCGCTCCTGTTCAACATTTATGTGAAGCCGCTGGGTGAGATCATCCGTGGTTTTGGGGTGCGATGCCATCTGTACGCTGATGACACTCAGCTGTACATTTCCACCCCAGACCACCCCAATGCTGCCCTCGAAGTGATGTCCCAGTGTCTGGAGGCCGTGCGGGTCTGGATGGGGAGGAACAGGCTTCGGCTCAACCCTTCCAAGACCGAGTGGCTGTGGATGCCGGCGTCCCGGTATAGCCAGCTGGTGCCATCGCTGGCTATTGGGGGCGAGTCACTGACCCCCACAGAGGGGGCTCGCAACTTGGGCGTCCTCCTGGACACACGTCTGTCTTTAGAAGAGCATATGACGGCCGTGGCCAGGGGGGCTTTTTATCAGGTTCGCCTGATACGCCAGTTGCGCCCCTTTCTGGATCGGGACTCCTTGTGCACAGTCACTCATGCCTTGGTTACGTCACGCCTGGACTACTGTAACGCTCTCTACATGGGGCTCCCCCTGAGGAGCACCCGGAGGCTCCAGCTGGTGCAGAATGCGGCCGTGCGGGTGATTATGGGAGCGACGTGGCGCTCCCACGTAACACCTCTCCTGCGCGAGCTGCATTGGCTCCCAGTGGTCTTCCGGGTGCGCTTTAAGGTGTTGGTTCTCATCTTTAAAGCGCTCCATGGCTTAGGGCCAGGGTATTTGCGAGACCGCCTGCTGCTACCGATAACCTCCCACCGGCCAATACGCTCTCACAGAGAGGGCCTCCTCGGGGTGCCGTCGGTCAGGCAATGTCGGCTGGCGGCCCCCAGGGGGCGAGCCTTCTCTGTGGGGGCACCCGCCCTGTGGAATGAGCTGCCTCCTGGAATATGATTGATCCCGGCCCTCCGGACCTTCCGTAAAGACCTGAAGACGTTTTTATTTCATCAAGCCGGCCTAGCCTAAATGGTTTTTAATTGGGATTTTAAATTTTATGGATTTGGGGTTTTAAATTTGGGTAGCCAATGATTTAATTCTTTTAATTATCTTAACTTCTGCATTTGTATGTTTTTTAATTTTGGCTGTTCACCGCCCTGAGTCCCTTCTGGGAGAAGGGCGGTATACAAAT